TTGTGCTATGCAGACCCACTTCATCAGCATCACTTGGGATTTATGTTAACAATAAGGTTTCCTTTGTCTCACACCAGTCCTATTGTATCTGAAGTTTATGGCATTAAGGTTGAGAAATTGCTGTTTTAAAATAAGCTCCTCAAATGGTTGTTTTGCAAACCGAATTCAAGGAACATGGCCATATCTAAAGACTTTTTAAAGAGATGATTCCAAGCAATGTTATAGCCACAGGAATAAAGACTCTGAAATAAGTTTGGTTCTGATTATACTTACAGGGCAAGAGAGCAAGAAGCAAGGACCCCCATGTCTATCTGGGGTAGCTGAAATCTATTTCAGAATGTTAAAAAAAAAAAAAAAGCCTCATTTGCTGCTGCTTCTTCATCATCTTCTCAGGTCCCAGTATCACTTTATGATGGTGATTTCATGGTGTCCTCTCTCAAGAGCTAGAGTGGCCTGGAAAATGTATCACATGTGTAACATGCACACTCCTTCCAACCCTCACTCTGATGCAGCTGTCCAGATCCCAGTCATATTAGACATCTCTTGACGTCTCAAGTGACCATTCACATCATGGCATGTCATCCTTTGTCTTTTTTAATTTTACTTTAAAAATGTGTAAATATTTGAAATAAAATATTTAGGTCTTAAAATGTAAGAACATTTTTTCCCCATTCTCTATTGACAATTTTGCTTTCAAAAGCAAACAATTTTAACAATTTAAGTCATTTCAACCAACTATTCCAGATATACTTATTACCAAATAATTATCCTCCATTTCTTGGCTTATCAATTACATATGCTGTACTAATTTCATGTATGTATTGTTATTTCTTAGTTTCAAATTTTTATGTTACCTCTTGATTTTCATTATGATATTGAAGGATTTTTAGTTTTTTATTCCTCATATTCAATATACCATATCATCTTTACATATGTATACATTTCTCACCTTCTTACCACACTCAGATGCACAAGAATTATAATTTGCTCCAATAAGGAGCTCTCTATGCCTGGGGTACTGTCTTTGTCAGAGTATAATCCACTGTACCACCTTGATACTTTCTTGTGACAATCCTTTGTATTCAATTTACTGTTTACTCTACTAGATGTCTTCCTCTTTCTTGTTTTTCTCCCTTATTTTGAAGGGGCTTATCCTGGTGGCTTCAATATGTGGGAAATAATATTTTGAAAACTTGATTGATAATGGGAAAGATAATAAAGTTCTAGGATGATAATCATTGTCATTCAGATTTGTAGGCATTTTTTTTTCTTTTCTAGCTCCAAAGCCATTCTAATCTGAATAAATAACCCTTGTGTTTAAATTTCTGGAAGCTCATAGAATCTTGTTTGATTCCAATATTCTGCAATATTATAGTAATGTGCTTTGGCTTGAATGTGTTTTTATTCATGGTACTGGAAATTCACATCTTTTAACTATGAAATATATTCTTGGATTACCTCTTTCTTTCCTACTTATTCTCCCTCACTTAATTTACTTTATCTCTACTTATACTATCCCAATATTGAATTTTCCAAACTGGTCCTCTACTTATTTAGTCTTTTCCTCACCTTGTTTACATTTTGCCTAACTGCTCTTCTGTATGTTGTCTTCTATATCTTCTACAAAGTAATTTCTGATGTATTAAATTTCAAGAGTTCTTTGTGGATGTTGTTCTRTTGTTTATAATAGTCGCTTGGATATCTGGTATGAACTAGCTCATTTTATCTCCCTAATGATACTGATAACAGTCCCCCACAAGTTGCTTTATGCTGTTTGTTTTAATATTTGATCTCATGTTACAGAATTTTCTCAGATTTTTCATAATRCTTGTTGCCTATTTAAGAACAGGGAATAAAATGCTGCTTGAAGCACAATAATGAGGGCTAGTGAACTATGCTTCATAGCAGAGAGAGCAGGTCAGAGATTACTTAAGAATTCCTCTACATGGGCATCTTCCTCTAGGGGTCAAATTCCTAGATAAGATTTTCCTAATTTCCTACCCTGCAGATAAAGGCCTGGTTCTTGGACTTCTGGGCATCCAGTAGGGAAACACACACATGCTCGCTCGCGCTCTCTCTCTCTCTCTCTCTCTCTCTCACACACACACACACACACACACCACACACACACACACACACACTTTCTTATACCTTTTGTTTTTCACACTGAGTCCCTGAACTCAATAGAACTCAGCATCTCTCAATCAAGAAAGTTCTCTATTTTACCATTCCCAGAGAATAGACTAACTGGATGAAGGTGGGGCATACACATAAGAAGGAAGGATTACAGAGTTTTATCAGCTTAAAATTATTACAACCAATTTTACCTTAGGATTCCCTTTGCCCCCACTGAGGTACCAACAACTGCTAATTTCTGAGCCTTTTAAGGCTTCTTTTGTGCAAACTGAATTGACTCTTGATTTTCCATTGCTGGCATGGTAAAAAAAAACAAAAAAAAAAACTACTCAGTCACCACATCTACTTTCTAGCATCTAAAATAGTTCTCTTAGCCTATGTAGATTTATGCTTGAAACCAAAAATCATAATGTCTTACTAGCAGTACTAGTACAGCATTGGAAGGGAGCCAAATTAGATGTATCTGTTCAATTTTCTACCTTTCTGGAATCTGTATGTTGTATTTTTAATCTCCCCAAATAATTTTAGTCTACCTGAAACCACTCCTCTGAGATAATATCTGGTGACTCTGGGAAAATTGTCTAAACACATCCAGTGGAGACAAAAATGCCAGAACTTGAATCACATGAATATTGAAAAAAAAAAATAGGCAACATGATGTCTGCCCATTCAAGATCTAGTACTATCTTCTCACAGGAAAATATCATTTCATTATTAATAAGGCAAGCTGTTTTTTCATCAAAGATAATGCACTGGATGACATGGCTGTTCTCTCCTTGTCCTCCTGTCCCTCATTTATAAGTCTGCTTTGGGGTTAGAGATTCAGTGCACAGATTTATGCTTCTCCATAAAAGGTGATCATCAATTCACTAAATGAAATGTAATAAATTATTTCAGCCACTTTGTGTTCTAACCAAAGTAATGAAGACTATATGCTGTTGAGTATGTACTGTGTGTGTGTGCATCTGTACATGGCTTTTTAATATAAGTATTTTATATCTCCTTCTAGGTATCTGGATTATGTTAATAGCAAGTTAACAGGCCTCATCCTCTAGAAGAGACAGGAAATTAATATTCCTGAGAAGTGAGGAAATTAGATGGTACTTGAGAGGATGAGGCATCCTGCTCTTAATGAAAAACAACTTTTGATAACACAGTACCACCACCTTCAAAGTGTTTGTAAATATTAAGCTTTCTTTTCACACCTTCAAAGCTTTAAAGCACCACACAAGTGGCTAGAAGGCCCTTTGCAGCTCCAAAAATGGCAGGATTCTACCATCAATTKGGATTCAGGAAACCTGGGTTCCCGTACAAGTTCCTTCCCCAAATGTCAAGGAGACCTCGGAAATGGTGTTCAGGTCTGTGTAGATCCTCTCTTCATCTATAAAACAATAATCCCTACCATTCTTTCGCCCTTGAGAGTCTGAATATCCATCAAAAGTATCAATTCTATCAAAGAAATATAATGATTAAAAGTATATTTAATATAAATACTTTTTTCATCTAAAATTGTCAGATAATGTAAGACTCTCACCTAACAGGTTTTGTTTTTTAAATACTCAGATTTAAAACATTAAGGAGACTTTGGGGAGGAGGATGAGACATAGACTTTTACAATTTTTTTAATATCACAATGATCAAGATATCATCTGTAAGAAAAACTGATTTTTGTAAAACATTTTATTATCTGCTATATTGTTTAGTCTTATAGTTAGCTTCACTGTAGTGCAAAACTGGATATTCTTCATAAAGGCATGTTTCAATAGACTAAATTGACAATTAAAATGATAAGATAGAAAGGAAAAAGGGACTTTCACATTCTGCTTAGAATTATCATAATTCTTGGTATGAYTTATGGTATGTTCTTCATGCTTTGACCTATTGTGCCTTGGTTCAAATCATAGCTTTTATCACCATCTCGCTAGGCAAGACATTTAATCGAGGATTGGTTACCTCTTTTCAAATACGTAGTGAGGCTAAAATTCTTCTAAATAGAAGAGAAATATACCAAATATGCTGTTGTGGCTCATTAGATSAATTATTTAAGTTCCTGTGTGGAAAGAGTAGGGCCCCTATCTTGTTTTATTCCATGAATTTCTCTCTGAAACCGCWTCGTCTTTCATAACCAAAGATGACCAAGGCCATCTATTTATTAGTCCACATACTTCACCCCACAGGAAACAAAGCTTATTAATCTTTCTCAGGCATCKCTTTCAAGCAGACCAGATATCTGACATTACATAAGCTAGACATATTCTATTTTATGTCCACTATCAAGCTTTTTCTCTAGTGAGGCAACATCAAGAAAAGAAACCAATCTGAAAGATAAAAATGAATGCGCAGATTGGAATCATTGCTCTGATGATTTTCTAAGCCTACAGGTGGGAACTGTTCATACCAGGTGGTGACTGAGCAAATTAAGTCAGCAGTTCTCAAAAGCACAAAGTGCGACATGTACTCTTCGTGAGGCGTCATTCCTTAAAAGTCTACTTGCTATAAAATCCTGGAAATGTCAGACGGGTTCTCAGGGGGAAAGAAAGGGAAATCCCTGGTCACCGGTCTCTGTAGTGTTACTACTGCAACAGACACAGGAAACTGACTAGGGGGTGGTGCCAGCTTTCAATCGAGTACTCAGAATCACTACACTATACCAGAGCTACTGTCTACTGACAGAGAAGGCTGCGATGGCCTCGGCACTGATGTAGTGGGCTTTTACCCTGGGAAGGGTAAGACAGAAGGGATGCTTCTGCGATGTACCCAAACAATCCCACTATGGCCACGCAATTTTGCAATACGCAGTACTCGGACAGTCTCTCCCCAATCCCCTCCCTTAACGCGARCGCGTGCCCGTGGGGGCCTATTACCATCCTGCAGAATGAGGGTGGGCTGCACCGCCTGCACTCGGAACTGCCTGGCCCTCCAGCCGGGGCTGGGCGCCCGCACCACCTCGCTGTCGGAGAGCCAGGTCACGGTCTCAAAGTTGTCCCCGCGAGCGAGGGCCTCGGCTTCAGCGTGGTGCACGGCCACCTGGTCGAACTGGTAAAGACCGCCGGAGTGGTCGAAGTGCACGTGGGTGGCCACAGCYAGAAGCGGCCGAGGCGCCGCATCCTCTTTCGCCCCGCAGTCCTGCAAGAGGCCGGAGGAATACAGGTACTCCGGTAGGCTGCGCAACCCCAGGCCGGTATCGATCACTACGTCCTGCTCGGAGCCACGCACCAGCCAGATATTGGCGCGGTTGCCGGACTCATAGAAGCGTTCTTGAATCCAGAAGATGCCATCGCCCAGAGATTTGTGGGCGTACCACTCGAGCGCCGACATGCTGGGCAGGGGTGCGGCTAGGCAGGGTGGGTGTAGGAGTGTGTGCCTCCTACAGGCTGTCCAGACACTGGGCGCTGCGGCTGTTTGAAGCCCTCTGCCCGCAGCCAAGGAGGAGGCGCAGAGTGAGGGGGTGGGGATGCGGGTGGCGCAGGGTGGGGGTGGGAAGGCAGGAGGACAAGCACMGACGCTGTTGGGAGAGTSTGCTCCAGCACCCTCCTGTTTGGTCCGCAGAGTGCAGAGGCTGCGTGCCCACGCCCAGATGCGGGAATTATCGAAGCTCCAGCAGTCGCAGCAGCGGAAAACGTTAACGCAGGGGCCACTGCAGCGAACTGGACACCCAGAAGGCGACACTTTCTCCACCCTAGGGGTCTGACTGCAGAGTCTTTGAGCAATGCGTGGGAAGTGCCGGGCTTGGCTCTCCACTCCCTTACACCCCCGCCCACAGGTTGGCTGGGCTGCGCACTCGCAGCCGGCGCGGAAAGAGTCKGGCCAAGCCTGTTGGGTGCTGACTACGGCGCCTGCCAAGGGCTAAAAAGCTCTTTCCTAAGGGGCGGGGCCTGTCTGGAATGGGCGGAGCTAGCTGTAGGCTCAGAACGCGCTCTGGGGCCGCGTGGAGAGCGGTGTGCGCTTCTCCAAGGTGGAACCTGCGGCACTCCAGAGCTGGCGTCCGCTGCTCGCACCCCTTCCTTGCCGGCCGGCACTTTGGCGCACAGTTTTGCCCAAACCTCGAGAATAAGTGATCAGGTAACAGAGGAAGCTATCTAGGACTTGGGAAGGGAGGTAGAGAGTAGAGGGGAGTTAAAGAGGCACATGGAGAAGGTGGCAGGGGTGGGGGAGTGGGTCAGGGGCAAAAATTAATTAAAGCGCCTCTGGAATGAGGCGTTGGAAGATATCTTTACCTTTTTYTCTCCTGGTCTTTTCAGTCTTTTAAAGTCGTCCCTTCTAGATCTTACATAGATTTCTCATCCTGGAACTGTTCGCAGTGAGTTACAAGGGAATTTATGCTCTTACTGATAGGAGGAGACTGATGCAAAACCGGTGCTTTATTTAGGCACTGGTCATTGCTGCATATTGCAGCTAAGGACAGATACTCGTTTATCTATTTTCTTAATTGTTGGCAACTTCTCTGTATCATGGGAAGGAAGGTTGTTAATATGATTTTTCTTTTAAAAAATGAAATTCTATATACCATTCCATTTCGGAGAGGTTCGATGTCCACGCTTGGAAGAGAGTAAAGAAAGTTGGTAGAAAAGCTCAATTAAGGAAAGGTGTAGTACCTTCTGAGGACGGGAAAAGTGGATAATGACTGGGTGTGGCCTCGTCAGCCACACAAATCAGCTCCTCTTACTAACTTCTGGTCCAGGTCCCCCCCCCCCCCCCCCCGCCTGCTTTTGAAACATCTACTTAGTCTGCAGAAATTCTCTTGAGAACTTGACTAACCTCCTTGCTTAGAAGGGAAAAAGTAATAAAGACCCATGAGAAGCATTATAAAACATAATTATACAAACATTTATTGGGGCAACTAATAATAAGCCTGGGTGGAAAGAAAGGTGTACTGTCCTTCCCTACATTCCCAAAGTCTTTGGTGGGGGATGTGGCCCGAGTATTTTGCTAATCTAGGTAGAGGTTATCCAGTTACTCAGCTGGTGACTAAGCACAAGTCCCTGAGCTAGATGATGTGTGAACAGAATTTTGTGAAAAGATCATGATCTGGATTCTCAAGAATTTGAGGGAAACTATTATTTGTACATAAACCCTTGCAATGTAAGGCAGTATGTGATATGTATCACAGAAGAAGTAAAAATGAGGTGCTGTAAAGAAACAGAAGAAGGGACTGTTGAGGAGTGGGATTTGTGATGTCAGGGCCTTTTCAACAGAGAAATACAGTGCTCTCTGTAGTGAGGTATTCTTCCTCTGGACTGGAGGGGACCACTAGAGGTGAAATGGAACAAATTCTGTACTAGGATATGAGCTCAGCAGTAAGTCTACGCATAGTTATTTGACGTTTGCCAGACTCTGCWTAGCCATGGGCATAAAAAGGTGAATAAGTCTCCAAGGAGGCCTTCACATTTACAGTCCCTCTGTATCCACTTCAGCATGGATATTCTTTCATACTTCTGTGCATGGGCTCTTTCCCTCACTTTTGTCAGGTTTTTGTTCAAATATTAATGAATACGACAGAAGTTCTTCAGCTACCCTTTCCACAGTAGCATCCATGTTTCCTGCTTTACTTTTCTTCACCTACTTAGCACTTCCTGACATTTTCTAGGATTTTTTTTTTTTTTTTTTTTTTTGCCATTTCCCATACTGGGCTCTGAGCTCCATGAGAGCAAATATTTTATTTTGTTCACTACTATATTCCTAATACACAGAAGATGACTTGACACAGAGAATGTGCAATAAAGACGTGGTGAATAGATGTTGAGACTCTCCCTGGGAAGACAGTCTAGGATCAACAATTACAACATGATTATAAAAAGGACCAAACAAGGAGGGTAGTACTTGGGAAGCCCAGTGAAAAGAGGGATAGGGTAGAGGAAATGGTCACAAGGTGTCATTTGCATGATATCTTAAAAGATGCTAGGGCTTGTTGAGGTGGATGTGGTAGGAARGGCACTCTAGGCAGAACACTGCATGCAAAAGCTGGCATAGCTAGTGTATGATGCATGTGGTAAGAGGCAGAAAGTTAGACTTCAAAGCTCTGTTGATTAAGGAGAATGACATGACAATATTTGTATTCTAGAAAGATTACTGGAGAGTGCATTGAAAGGGGGTGTCTGGCCATGGGAAGTTTATTTGTTATATTTTAGAGGTCTAGATGAGAGATGCTGAGGGCCTACAGTAAAGCAGAGGTGACAGAAAGGGAACAAAGAAGAGAGAATAAACAGCAAGTAATCATCTACTATTAGATGAGATCAAAGGTGATAGGGCCAGAGCAGGAATGACCATCAGCCTCCTGACTGGAGCAGTTTAGGAGGCATTCATGGGAAAGATACTGAGACCTAACTTTCACTGCTCTAGGTCCATCTGTTTGTATATTTATTCAACTATAGCTATTATGTAAAGGAACTGTGTATGACATGGGAAATAGTGCATTTTAGTCACAGCCATAACTCATAAGATTTTAGAGATGGGACCATTTCAGAGATAACTCATTCTCTGCCAAGAGGTGGTTTTTATAGTGACTAGAATGGAGTTTTATATTCAGCTCTTGGTTATTTGAACTGTACCCATTTTCAAGCCTTTCAGAACAAATTCTGAGCAGGAATTTTCAGGAGGTATCCTGAAATGAAAGAATGCTGCTGATTTCACATTTTAAAATTGAGTCTGTTTTGCAGTTACTAATTCACTTCATTGATAAAAGACACTTCTGGGATTAAAAAGGTTTTCAACAAGCTTAGACATGTGCTTCAGGCAGCATAATATAGATTAAGGGGCAATGAAAAGGTTTCCTGAGGCTTTAACTTATTCCTGCCTTTGATAGAAATTAATTTTGTTTCCTTAGATTATCAGATAACCTTACTTTCCTTGTCTACAAAATGGAAGTTTTAATCTGCCATCCTTTTAAATTTAGTTTACACATTGTAATATTCTGGGTTGCTTGAAAACCAGTGCCTAAACTCTGCCTTTAAGAGGTTCCGCTTTTATTGTTCTGGAGTGAAGCCCATGGCTGTTGTGTTTTGTTCTGTGAACTTTGAAGTTCAGGAAAATTTTAAACGGCTTGATAGTAAGCTGATTGAATTGTACTTCCATGGGAAGATTTTCTCATCAAATTATTTAACATAAATAAATAGATTGGGAAGGCTTCACATTAATTGAGGAGAAATTGTTGTATGTAAATCATTATACTAAACAGCGAGGGATATAAAATCTCCACTCTTAATATAGTTGAAGAAACCAACAACAAAAAAACATGAACATTTCTCCTTTGGAAAAGGCCCATTTAGTATCCCCCCCCCCCAGAATTGAGGAGTCTATCAATATATATCACTTCAATTTTTAAAAACCCATTCATTTTAAAAGAAGATCTTGCTCAGATCAAGGTGAGATGAAATGACTTGTGGATGTTGAGGACCCAGTGTTTTCACCTTATGCTGGGTGTTAAGGTAAAAAGGGATGTATCCAGACAGGGAGGAAGGAGAGGCAGATTGCAGTGAAGAGACTGAGAGTCTAGATAGAATGACAGATTAGAGAGTCAGAAGGATAGATTGCAACCATCTTWAAAAATCCCTGAATACTTAGGGGCTTTGAATTTAATTCACCAGCCAAGAGGGAAGATGAAATGAGTAGCATAATCAAAGCTGTGCTGTAGGATAAATAATGTGGATGAATTAATTAAAAGAAACAGGTATACTACAAAGTTTGCAGTTAATCAGAAATGGGATGGGAAAGGGCTGAGCTGGATTATGGTAGAGAAATTACAAACAAAGAGACATTTTGAAGGAAACAAATAGGTGGTTGATGTATGGCTTACTTGCACTGTGCCTGGAATTCTCCATATTGGTTGAGTAATACCTCAAATTGGGCTAYTTGAAGTAGAAGGATTGAATAATGAGGAAATAGAGAAAGATGTTAAAAACCCCTTCATTCAGCAAATTTGGCAGGATGAAAAAAAGGAACAAGGCAGTGGATGAAGCAATATAAAGGATTTTGAAGAGTTATCCTTAGGCCTTACCTGTGGGGCATTTCTTCCATGATTCAGTACCAGTATCCAGCAACTGCTACTCAAATCTGCAAGGGAAGAAAATGAATTAAACACCTGCAAGACTAGAAGCACTGACTCATGATGACCAAACTAAAAAGTTGTATTTGTAGCCAGAATGCGGTGTAATTACTAAGGGTGTCTCAAGAGCTAGGATTGGGTTTTCTGCCAATGGCAGAACATTGACTAATGATACCAATTTATACACCCAAATTTATACACTCAACTTATATACCCAAAGATTGCTTGATAAAAGCAATGATAGCTCATATACTTTATTTTTAGAGTGATTTTCCAAATTATTTCCCAGGACCTCACTTCTGAAGATACCAGTTTACTAAATTTGAAAACCTGAGGATCCCCTAGCCTTCTGTATGTCCTCCAGTTAAATTCTCATGTTCTCAAATTAATTCTCATGTTCAGACAAGTTTGGTAAACTTTACCTAGAATTGTTCTTAATCTTTAATTAATGGCAGATTCTGGACTGGAACGCAGCCCAGTGGTCTTGACCATGCCTGTTAGGTTCCTACAGCTGTTTTTTATGGTGAAAGTGTGAACCCTCTGTTCACCAGTTTTGTACTTAAAAGACCTGATTTCTGTAGGCTCAGCATATGCTTTAGTGACTCAGCAATTGAAACAAGGCTATTTGGATATTTTTTCTCTTTAATGTGAAYAGTTGGAATGACCTTGTTTATTAATATGAGTTTGCTGTATGAACTTTGTTTCAAGGTAACTAAATAGTGGATAAGGGAAATTAATCCTTGGTAGAATTATAASTAATAAAACAAGAAGAATAAGAAAAAGTTTATATCACCATATTGCTATTCGTACTGGAGTAGTGGATCTAGGATCTAGTAGTGGATTTAGGGGCTGCTGAATTCATTAGGTGAAAATAGATGGCCACCTTATAGTAAATGAAACACATCAATAGCACCTGACCCACTAACCACCTTAGTCATAACCAAAAAAGACTTCATGTGCAGCTTGGTGCAATGCAGTAGGAAAACTAAATGTCTCTTTTAAGTGTTCTTAAGGAAGAAAAAAAAAGACTCTGAGTAAGCATCTAGTCTACTRTTTATTGGAAATCCTGTGAATAGAGGAGTACATTAAGCCATATCTCTAGTATGCAATCTTTCAAATCTAGAATAAGGGAAGTTGTCACTATTCGCAAATTGTAGTCTATAAACCAGCAACATTGATATCTCTGTGAGATTTTGGTTAAAATGCAAATTATCAGGYCAACTGAACGAGAATCCGCATTTTAACAAGACTCCTAAATAATTTGCTTGTATCAAGTTTGAGAAGCATCATACATGACAATGACTTCATTTCTTCCATAAATAAATGGTAAGGATAAAAAGGGACAGAAACGGGCTTAGTGTAGATCTCTTGCCTAGCACATGCAAGGCTCTGGGTTYGATCCTCAGCACCACATAAAAGTAAATAAATAAAATAAAGTTATTGTGTCCAACTCCAACTAAAAAATATTTCTTTTTTAAAAAAGGGACAGGAACTCTTAACTGTTGATAGGAAATTTAAAAGATGTGTTCATCAATTGTCATGGTGGATGTTTTGTATCTTGACTTACAGTAACTATAAAAACATTTATTTGATAACAGGAAATTGAAATACTGATTGTATATAAGAGGATAGTAMGGAATTATTATAAAATTTTACATGATATTATTTTAAAAGCCTTTACCTCAGAGAAGATGCATAATGAAGAGTTTTTAAAAATTTGATTCATGGGAATGGAAGAGTATGAAAATTAGTCATTATTAATTGTTGAAGTTGAATGATATGGTATATTAGTCATCTTTTTGTCATGGTGACTGAATACCTAAAAAAAAAAAAAAAAACTTTAAAGGAGGAAAACTTTATTTTGGCCCATGGTTTCATAGGTTTCAGTCCAGTGGCAACAAGTGATACCATTGATTCTGAGACTGGTAAGACAGAGCATCCTAGCGGGAGGATGTGGTAGAGCATAGCTGCTTACCTTATGGAAGCTAGGAAGCAGGAAGAGAGAGGAAGAGCCTGGGGACAAGAAATAGTTCCCAAGGGCACATCCCCAAGGACTCACTCCTTTCAACTAGATCCCACCTCCTACAGTCTCCACCATCTCCCAATAATCCATTCAGCTATAAATTCTTCAATGGATTATTCTTTGATGAGGTTTTTTATAATCCAACCACTTCTCAAAAGCCTTATCTCTGAATATTGGATACCTTCAATACATGAGCCTTTGGGGGACATTTCAGATCCAAATTATAACAGGTAGGTACTTGGGAGTTTATTGCACTCTTTTTCCTACTTACATGTGTATTCATAGTATGGTAAAATTAAGTAAAAAGGCATGGAGTTGTACTTTACAATGAGAATAGCAAAGATAAAATCATCTTTTAATATTCAAGCAATTATGAAGGAAAACTCTCAAATATGGAGGCATTAAGGATGAMTTTAGAAAATATACAATGGAAAATTATATCTGAAAATGTTCTCACTATCACATCCATCATATCAAACCAAATGCCATCCTACTTGAGTAATTCTCAGAAAAGAAGAAACAAGATTTCGTCAGAGAAGGATATTGAATATATGTCTTGATTTTGAGTAGTTGGACCCTTAAATGTATGAGGACATTAAAAGTGCAGCTCATTGAGTTWAGTCAGCTTTTTCACTTCTGTGACCAGAAAGACCTGACAAGAACAATTAGAGGAGGCAAAGTTTATTTGGGGGCTCTTGGTATCAGAGGTCCAAGTTAATAGATGGCTGATTCCCTTCCCTGTTCAAGGAGAGRCAGCACATCATGGTGCAAGGGCGTGGCAGAGGAAAGTGGCTCAGGACATCACATCAGGAAGCAGAAAGGGATAGAGGAAGTTCTTACCAGGGACAAACTATAAAACTCAAAGRCATGCCCCCCACCCCACCCAGGGACCCACCTTCGCCAGCCATATCCTACATGCCTACAGTTAACACTTAGTCTCTATTGAGGARTTAATGCACTGATTAGGTTAAGCCTTTTATAACCCTGTCATCTCTAAAGTTTCTGGCATTGTCTCACACATGAGCTTTKGGGGGACACCTCATATCTAAGGCTTAACACCTTGGTATTGCTGTTCCCTTGCAAATGTGTTAAAAAGTCAGTCTTCACATTCTGAATTCTGTTAGATTTATAACAGTTATTTCACTTTTAGGCTCATTTCTTTAAATCTAGATAATCTGTATGATTTCAATTTCAAAGATGGAACCTATAAAGTAAGTGATCCTACAGGTATATTTTAACTTTGCTACTACTTAGTAGCTAAGACTTCCACCAGAGAAGTTTTCACATAGCAGTTTTCCTATGTATTAGAATTGCCTAGAAAAGTTTTGAAGCTATTCTTGCCCCAAGAGGTCATGATTTGATTGTTTCAGTTCAGTGRTTCATGAACTTTAGTATGCATAAGAACTACCTAGAGGGTTTTTTTTTGGGGGGGGGGTACCGAGAATTGAACTCGGGGCACTCAACCACTGAGCCACATCACAAGCCCTATTTCATATTTTATTTAGAGACAGGATCTCACCAAGTTGTTTAGCACCTCACTTTTGCTGAGGCTGGCTTTGAACTCAGGATCCTCTTGCCTCAGCCTCCAGAGCTGCTGGGATTACATGTGCACATCCCCATGCCCAGTACTTAGAGGGTTTTTAAAAACACAGATACAAACTTAAAACACCAAGTGTTTGTAACTTCTAATTTTCTGGGATTTTCATTCTAGCTTTGGCTTAACTCTCATGGTTTCATGCATTGCCCTCCCAGGAGCTACACTCAATGAGTCTGACTCTGGGACACATTGCCTGTCCTTATAGGCCTTCCTTTGAAATCTCGATTCAAGCCTCCATTATTCTTTCATTCCTTCATGCCTACAACACCAGCATCACATGGACAACACCAGGTGTGCCACTAGCTCAAGCAGTAGTGGACTCCTTGGATCATAGCAGCAGTAGCCTCTGGGTGCCACGGCAACTGACAATGATGAAACTAATCCTGGGAAAACAACTTTTTAGGCAGTCCTATGGAAGCAGGGTACTCCTGCCATCACTTCTCAAAACAAAGTCTTTCAAACAAGTTTTCACTTTTACATACTTGAGCCTGGGATGAGTGGGACTTGCTGATTCCCAAGATGCCATCAAGGCCACTTTCCTGTTGTCTCCAGGCAAAGTACTTGATTTCTCTTCAGTGGCACTAATGTCTTCAGCAACCATAACTTCCTTGAACCAAATTTTACATGGGCTTTTCTAGCTAAAATGCAAGTTTTTCCAAATGTTTCTTCTCTGCTTTCTACTTGTGATTACCACAGTAAACCTGGCTAAAAGTAGCCAGCAATACAAATGCTACTCTCTGAATTGAAATTTCTCCACCAGATAAACTAGTTCATCACCTTTAAACCCAGCCTCACATAAAACCTCAGGATATRAAAAAAAATGTTGATATGTTCTTTACCAGAATGTACATGAATAGCCTCTAATCCAGTTCCCAGAAGAGTCCTTATTCCCCTCTGGAACCCYACGAGCACACTCTTTATTGTCTCCATTCACATCAGTATTCTGGTCTTCTGAGCCCACACCAGCCGTAAGGCTTCTTTAGCCTGCATCTCTAAACATTTCCAAAATCCTCTCATAAAYTATCTCTACAGGTTTCTGAACCACATGGTCAGGATCGTCACAGCAATGATTAACCCCAGTTCTTGGTATCGATTTTGTTATTAGCTTTTCCTCACTGTGGCCCCAGACACCTGACAAGAACAAYTTAGAAGAGGAAAGATTAATTTTGGCTCATAATTTTGGAGGTTTCAATCCATGATCGTCTGGAAGGCTCCATTACTTGGGACCTGAGTTGAGACAGAACATTATGGCAGAAGGGAATGGTGGAGGAAAGCTGCTCAGGTCATGGTAGCCACAAAGCASAGAGTAGGTGGGCAGAGACAAGAATCCCAAGGCCATGCCCCCAGTGCCCTACTTCCACTAATCATGCCCCACTTGCCAATAGTTTCCATTCTCTTCAAGTGTCCATTCAGCTCTCAGTGGATTAATCCATTGATGGGGTCAGAGCCAATCCCTTTCCCAAAGCCTCACTGGACATTGYTGCATTGGGGACCAAGCCTTTGATGCATGAGGTTTTGGGGGACATTCCAGATCTAWACCATAGAAAGAGTCTTCAAGTGGATAGGATAAAAACAAGACAACCTCTCCTCATCAGCGCAAACTTTTCTTGTCTCCACTTTTTACATGTATCTGAGAATCTGTTGCCAAACCACAGAGACAGAATTGCATTGATGGGTTGTGCAGGCCCAGGGTATGCACAGGACATTCAGGACTTCGGTGCTGGAATTGAGGCCATCATCATCTCACCTGAAAACTGTAACTGGACATGAAGGGTTCAGCCATCAGTTTTGCATATTTGTTTTTCTACAGATTTGCTAATTTTTTTTTAAATCAGCCATTCTATATAGGGGTGGAGTTCTGCTGCATTTTGCTTTAAAATGTTGGTTTCTTTCTTTCTTTCTTTCTTTCTTTCTTTCTTTCTTTTTTTTGGTATGATCTGGTAAATCTTAACCATTAATTGTGTCTTTTAGCTTGCCATTCTTGTAGCATAACTAGTTCTGATGGCTGGGAATAAAGGAAGAGGTCGTGCTGCCTATACCTTTAATATTGAGGCTGTTGGATTTAGCAGAGGTGAAAAGTTACCTGATGTAGTGTTGAAACCACCTCCACTATTTCCTGTAAGTACCTTATAGCTGAATTCTCAATGTGTAATTTTTCATGTTTCAGAGAAAATTAAAATTCTGTTAGGGTTTGAATATATAACAGCATTAAGATATCCTCAAGTATAAGAAAGTAAAATAGTGTGTTTTACTTACCTTTAATTTAGCTATTCATTTGTTCTTCCCTAAACCTTTTCTAATTTTCCAATTGCTTTTTGTTGTAGATGGACAAGATACCTTTATTTTATTTATTTATTTTTATGTGGTGCTGAGGATTGAACCCAGTGCCCATGCATGCTAGGCAAGTGCTCTACYGCTGAGCTACAACCCCAGTCCCCAGTTGCTTTGTTAAATCTTTTTTGTTTTTGTTTTCTGATACTGGGGATTGAACCCAAGGTACTTTGCCACCGAGTTAAAACCTTTTTTTTTTCCCCCTTCACATTATTATTTTGAGACAGAATCTCACTAAGTTGCTAAGGGTCTTCCTAAGTTGTTGGCTGGCTTTGAACTTGTGATTTTCCTGCTTTAATCTCCCTAGTCACTGGGATTACAGACACACATCATCATGCCCAGTTTATGTTGCTTTCTTAAAATAATGAAAACAAGGGGCTGGGGATGCAGCTCAAGCGGTAGTGCGCTCACCTGGCATKCGTGGGGCGCTGGGTTCCATCCTCGGGACCACATAAAATAAAATAAAGATGTTGTGTCCACCGAAAACTAAAAAATAAATATTAAAAAATCCTCTCGCTAAAAATAAATAAATGAATGAATGAATGAATGAATGAATGAATAAATAAATAAAATAGTGAAAACAAAACTGTATATTTGTTTCTATCAATATGCTAAGTACTGTGTGAACCAAGAAAGAATTATTTTCTAATTTTTGTATCTTCTATTTTTATTATTGATGTATTCTAATTATCAAAATAATATTTTAAAATGTCAGGTTAGGTTTTACAATGGTTTCCATTCTMTGATGCTTTCATCTAACAATTTTCTTCATTTCTTGTATTTATAGAATGTAATTTTGCTCCTTAGTATACCATTTGTCCTTTTCTTCCCACTGAAATTTTCTTTTTGATGGTTGTGTTCGTTATTTTCCTGTTTTACTAAAGTCATTTTGAGTTTTGCTAGTTTCTCTAAATATGTATGTTAGTGTTCCTTTTAAATTTAGTGCTTATGTTGCAAGCTTAACTGGCTTCGTGTCTAGTGTTTTAACTTTATATCTAGCTTAAGATATAAGTTCACATTTCCAGATGTGCATGTGCTGTGGTTTAAAAGGTAGAATTCATAATTAACCACATGCCCTTTGCTTCATGAATCTTTTCCAATTTCTAGTGGAAAAATCCTTTATTAGAGGATTTATATGCTCACATAAGGAGTCTCTGCTTTTTGCTCTTGATATTTTGTCTTTTTGATAGTGAATATAGCCTAAATTCATTAGACAAATATCTTAGGGGTATAGGCATAATGTCCCTTTAACAGGGGTTTCTTTTAAAACAAGCTCTTCTTAGCTGGGTATGATAGTGCATGCCTATTATCCCAGAGACTCAAGTCTCAGGCAGGAGAAACATAATAAATAAGTTCAAGGTTGGCCTGGGAAACACAGGGAGACCCTGTCTCAATAAAAAAAAAAAAAAAAAAAAAAAAAATTAAAAGGAATGGAAATGTAGCTAATTGGTAGAGCATCTAGGGTCAATCCCCAGTACCTCAATCAGTCAAGCAAACAAACAAGCTCTGTTCCATGTGTGAAGAGATTACTTCTGAATACAAGGAATGTTAGTACTTGATGGTGTTTTATACTCAGAGTAAACTTAAAATTCCTTGATGTTGGTTCAAAGGCTTTGCCTGTCTGGCTTTTCTCATATCTTTCCAACCCCCTCCTACCACTCTTTCTCATTCTGTTATCTCTTCTGGCCTTCTTGTTCTCTGATGTCTTTGTCCCTGCTGGTTCCCTGTATGGAATATCTGTTCTCCAATCTTTGCATGAATGGCTTGCTGATCTTATCCATATCTCTACTCTAATGTGACTTCTCCAAGAGGCCATGCATGCTTCCTTGTGTAGATCAACCATCTCTAACCTTCACGCACTCTTGTCATCTTTCCTCTGACTTCCTTCATGTATTTGTCATTTATCACTAACTGAAACTGTATCTCACCTCATTGTATTACTTGCTTATTGTGTGTTTCTTCCCTGGAATATAAATTCCATTTGAGCAGGGGCTTTCACTACTTCCTCATTGTATCACCTATTTTCTTTCTTTTTTTTTTTATTGATTGTTCAAAACATTACAGAGCTCATGATATATCATCTTTCATACATTTGACTCTTCTAACCATGTCTGGTTTATATAGGTATTCATGAAATAGTTGTAGAATGAATGAATGAATGCATTCCAAATCAAACATATGTACTGTATCCTTATTCTCTGAAATTAAAAAAAAATGTCTTTGCCATGTATGCTGGGAACTCACTTTTCAATGAATCTATATGTCCAATTATATATACCTACACATATATGTGCATGTGTGTCTATGTGTATGTGGAATATTTAAAAATCAAAATGTGTCCAAAGTCCTCTTTTGCCATTTACTCATTATATGGGCTTCAAAACTATTTATTTCTTCATTTTTTCATTGTACAAAAGGAAATACTTGTAATACTTTGAGAGAATGAGTGTTGAATTTTTGTATTATTTTTAATTTTTTTTATTTTTGGTAGTAGGGATAGAACCGATGGGTGCTTTACCATTGAGCTATGTCCCCACCCCTTTTTCTTTTTTATATTGAGACAGGGTCTCATTAAGTTGGTGAAGGGCCTTGCTAAGTTGCCGAGGGTGGATTTGAACTTGAAATCATCCTGCCTCAGCCTCCCAAGTCACTGGAATTACAGGCATGCACCACCACACTCGACTGAATGTTGAATATTGAGATTATCCTGTTTATAATAACTACTTGTTAAATGATAATTGCTATTATTTATATATGTATTCTTATGCTATTGCTCCCGCCAATTACGTCATCAATAGTTGAGATTAATAGAAACTAGAGCAGTTTCTCCCATATGGGTGCCTTGATTTTTAAGTTATGGAATCACATTGTTTGATAGACAAYATAACAAAATGATTTTCAGTGTAATTTTTAGGGTCAATTAAAAAAATTATGCTCCTTTCATACCTCTAAAATAAGAATAAAGTAGGAATGGCCAAAAGATAAATAGATTATGGAAGCTCAACATCTTTTAATTGCAAAAGTTATTGCCTATAAAACACATACCTGTAAAATTAAATAAAATTGACATTCTCCAGAATGTAGATGAAAGAGATGTTAAATATTTAACTTACTAAAAACACCTTTGTTTCCTAATTAAAACAGGATACAGATTATAAACCAGTGCCACTGAAAACAGGAGAAGGGGAAGATTATATGCTGGCCTTGAAACAGGAATTGAGAGAAACAATGAAAAGAATGCCTTATTTTATTGAAACACCTGAAGAAAAACAAGGTGTGTGTGAGTCTGTTTCATGTTGTGATTTAATGACTGTGGATAAACAATGCCTAAGTATAAAATATGTGATCATTTAATGCAAGTTTATTTGATTTGCTTGGAGATTAACAACCACCTTTAAAAAATGTATGGTTGATTTGAAAGAAAAGATATTTTGTACATTTTTWAATTTTATTTATTTATTTTTTGATACTGGGTATTGAACCCAGGAGAGCTTAATTACTGAGCCACATCCCCAGCCCTTTTTATATTTTATTTTGACACAGGGTCTCACTGAATTGCCTTAGGGCTTCACTAAGTTGCTGAGGCTGACTTTGAACTTTCGATCCTCCTGTGTCAGTGTCACTAGTATTACAGGCATGCGTACCACTACCTGGCTTGATATTTTATTTTTTAAAATACTTCTTATAATAGAAGTTGTATATGTTCAGTGAAAATTATGAAAACTAAAAAACTTTTAAAAGGTGAAAATTACCCAGTCCTATGTATATAGAACAACTATTAATATTTTATTGTATGTTCTATATTTTTTCTTTATAAAATTGTGTTACATACTTTCCTTCTGCTTTTTACCCAGTAACATTAGCATTTTCACATATCCTTTTATTCTGAAAAAACTCAAGGTACAAGATTTTTTTTTCTTTTTGCTGTACTGGGGATTAAACTCAGGAACACTTTATCCCTGAGCTACACTCCTATCTCTTTATTATTTTGAGATATGGTACCTCTCAGTTGCTGAGACTGGCCTCAAACTTGTGATCCTTCTGCCTCAGCCTCCCAAGAAGCTGGGATCACAGGTGTGCACCACTGCACCTAGTGGAAAGTACAAGTTTTAGTAACTATTTGTTATTACATTGTGTAGATATAGCATTATTAATTGTAAATAATTCACTGTTGTTAGATATAAGGTTATTTACAATTTTTTGCTCAGGTRTATAATGCTATGATTACTATTGTTTTTATGCATATCTCTAATTATTTAACATTTAGGTTAAAAATCGAAAATCCTTGATTTTTGGCTTATCATTTATGTGTCTGATATGGTAGAAAATATAAAATATGTATTCATTACTAATGCTAAGGGCAGAGAGGAAAAGGCTCAACAGTTTCAGAATGGAGGTGGGAAGTAGTTTTAGAGAACATGAACCCACTCCTGAGTAGTTATTTAGCACAGTAGAACTATATTGATTTTCAGTTTCTGCCCTTACTTGTCGAAATTAGAGAAATCAATACATCTTGAGTTCTCAAAACAACATCATTAAACCATGAGACACTCTTGTGATATCATCTCATTCCATTAGTATTGAAAATGCATTCCATTTTTCTCTCTCTGAAAGACAGAATTGGCTAAGAGTCAAAAAGGAAGTCTTATGGTGATATGTGATCATAATAAGCATGTTAGGCAAGATCACTTAATTTTCAAAACATATTGCTTGAAGTTACTTAATGGTTTGATAAGAAATATYTTTCCTCAAAACTACTTAACTTTTTTCTTTTATGATTATATTGCATGCTTTTGTCTCTGTTTAAAAATGAAATTAAAGCTCTCATTTTTTAGATTTAATAAAGATTAAATGAACTAAATAAATATTCTTAATAGAAAAAATGATAGGTCAGGGTATACTTTAGTCCTCTTGAAATTAGTCTTTTCTCTAGATTATGGGACAGATTTGCTTAATTTAATGTTGTCATTTAAGCACATGTCTCATTTAAAAAGGTATCAAATTCATTCAAGCATTTATGTGATTCTTTTAAACAGGGTTTAATTAAGAACATAATACAGTGTAGGAGTAGTTGGCTTGTACCCCTGGATCAAGGGGTACTTTTTTGTTGTTAACTATACAATAAAATATAAATCTATGTAGAATCATTTGCTTTCGTTTCTTTTAGGAAAAAACTTTTATAGAATTTTTAAATTGATACAAGTAAATTCTCCTTGAAATCCTCATGTTTACCTGTCATTCTTGATGTAATGTGTTTGAAAAATACTGATTCAAGGGCTWGGGGCTAGAGTTATATTTCAGTGGTATAGTGCTTGCCTAGCATGTGTGAGGCACTAGGTTTGTTTGTCAGCACTGCATATAAATAAGTAAAATAAAGGTTCATTGATAACTAAAAAAAATATTGATTGAAAATAAAGGTTTTTTAAATAAAATATAGACATTCATATATATGCTTTCACAATATACTTACTCATATGTATGTATCTAGGTTTATATATGTATATACACAGCAGTCCCCTCATTACTGGTGTTGGRTATTTTTTAAGACCCCCAGTGGATGCCTAAAACCACAGATAGTGCCTAAACCTATATATAAACACTGGTACTATAATTGATAATGGATATGGCTACTAAGTGATTAATGGACAGGTAGCATATGGAGTATGGGTATCCTAGACAAAGTGGTGATTCATGTCCTGAGTGGGATGGAGCTAGACTGCATGAGATTTCATCATGCTACTGAGCAAGGTGCGCTTTAAAACATGATTTGTTTATTTCTGGAATTTTCCATTTAATATTTTCAGATCAGTTTGACTAAAACCAGTAACAGAAACCACAGGAGGCAAAACTATGTATGGTGGTGGTGGGGGGATTGCTGTATATAAAAACATATATAAAATACATACTATGGAATAAAAACGATTGTCCAGACAGAAGTACCCAATTCTCCAAGGGAACCATTTTCCAGATGAAGTGTTATATGATGGTACCTCCACCAGTCTTCCCCCTTTTATTTACCACCTGGGGGCATTAGGAAAGAGAGATTTATAGACTAATGTCAAGAACTAAGTCACTAGAGACTAGTACAAACAATTAGGGTGGGAGATTGCAAGACTTTCTGATAATCATTGGCTGATGGATCAGGGAATTGAGATCTTTCAAAGAACAGAGGGCATAGGCATAAAATAATAGTTCATATTGTGATATCTTTAAAAGTTATAGTATTTTCAGGGGAAATTATATAAATGAATAGTATTTTCTTTGTGATAAAATTTATTATTTTTATAATGGAAAAACACCAATCAATATTATTTTAATGAGTTTTAGTCACAAGAGTATAGAGATCATCTAGTCCAGTGCTTCTCAGCTCAGGTTCCTGAACTACACAGTCTGCAGACAAAGAGACAGGATCATGACCATAGTGATGGTTCTTTAAGCCATTTTAAGAACTTCAAAAGCTTAATTGAATTTTACGCTTACCTGCAGTAAGGCCACAAGGTCAATCATTGAATAAATAGGGTTTTGTTTATTTGTCAATGTATACCATCAGGGTCCATGAAAACCAGTTTAATTTTTTAAATTTCTTTTTGAGTAATTGCTACTATTTGTGCTGATTGGTATTCATAACTTTTATTCTTTCATAAAGGTCTTCCAAACAAAGAGAAATTTACCAAAAAAAAATAAATAAATAGAAAAGAGAACTCATTTTATCTTTGACCCTATCAGCTCATTGAACCCTTTTACAAATTAAAAATAGACTGTGAACTCTGTGTGATCTTATTTTTCCCATATCTTGAAACAGATTGCTATTTCATCATCACAGTAATAATTCCATTGTCATTCATCAAGTATTCCACATTATGTTGGCGATTTAAAATTTTTAAAAATGGAATTCTGATGAAGTTACACGGAAGGATGGTGCAGTGTTGAAATAAATCATCACTATTATGCTGTCCTTCAGTTGTCCTATTGTCTGAAGTATTACATCACTGTTGGTTTTTTTTTTCTTTTTTCCTCTCTTCTTTTGCAGTGCTGGGTGTCAAACTCAGCATGCTAGGTAAACTCTCCACTACTGAACTATTCTCAGAACTTTGTATTTTTTAATTATTGTGAGACAAGGTCTCACTAATTTGCTTAGGCTGACCTTGATCTTGAGATCCTCCTGCATCAGCCCACCTGAGTAGCTGGGATTATGGGAATATACCACTGTGCCCTTCTGTCACATCAATTTCTAAGAAGATATAAAAGAAGTCTATAGAGATCCCCATCTTTGTAGTTGTTTTGTCCTCTTTTAGTTTTGAATACAATTGAGAATTCAGAATTTTTCATTTTCTCTTCATAATGGCAAGAAGAAAACTGACAGAGGAAGATATTTCACAATTCTTAGATGAATCAGAAGTTGAATGCAAAGAGATATATGCCAGCTCTCTGGGCACTAATAATGATGGAGAAATTGATTATGTAACTAAAATCTCAGACGGTGAGTCTTCAGATGACTATATCTTAGATGAATTTTCTCAAATTCAAGAATCAATGAGTAAACAATACATCTTTAAGAATTAAAAATGTTATCTGAAAAGGATCTCATCCCATAATATTTTATAATACGAATCTGAAACATCMTGTTTGCTAAAATATCTTGTGACATATTTTTTTCTTTTATGATATTTGCACATAAAATTTATTCAATGTTGTTTGTAACCAGACAAATGCTGAAGTCAAAGGCAAAACCAAAAATGATTAAGAAAAAATAGATTATGTAGAAATGAAACAGTTTATTGGGTTGATTATATTAATGATTTCAATTTTTTTTTGGTACCAGGGATTGAACCCAGAGGCCCTTAACCACTGAGCCACATCCCCAACTCTTTTTTGTATCTACTTAGAGACAGGGTCTCCCTGAGTTTCTTAATTCCTCCATAAGTTGCTGAGACTGGCTTTGAACTCGCTTCAGCCTCCTGAGTCTCTGGGAATACCAGCAGGTGCCATCACATCCGGTGGTGATTATAAGTTTAATAATGAAAATGTTTTTCAAATATGGAGCAAAGATGACTGAGCCATCCCTCTTCAATGGAAGTATGAGCTCTTGAAGTTTTTTAAAGTATTGCATTTGATTATGAAAGTACTAGAAAAATAATTGAAAGTTCAAGTATCATAAGGCGGAATGTATTACAAATACATTTGTACCCAGGCACAGTGGCTCACACCTGTAATCCCAGCGGCTTGGGAAGCTGAGGCAGGTGGATCACGAATTCAAAGCCAACCTCAGCAAAAGCAAGGCTCTAAGCAACTCAGTGAGACTCTGCCTCTAAATAAAATGTAAAACAGGGCTGGGGATATGGCTCAGTGGCCAAGTGCTCTGAATTCAATCCCTGGTACCTCCCCCCCCCCCCCCCCCCCCCCCCCCCCCCCCCCCCCCCCCCAAAAGAGAGAGAGAGAAAAGAAATACATTTGTACTCTGGAATTATTTAGATGATGCAAATGTCAGGNATGTAATCCTAGCAACTCAGGAGGCAGAGGCAGGTGGATCACATGTTCAAAGCCATGTAGCAATTTAGCAAAAACCTGTTTCAAAATAAAAAAAAATGTAAAAAAGGGCTGGGGATATGGCTCAGTGGCCAAGTGTTCTGAATTCAATCCCTGGTGCCTCCCCCCCCCCCCCCCCCCCCCCACCCCCCCGCCAAAAAAAAAGAGAGAGAGAGAAAAGAAATACATTTGTACTCTGGAATTATTTAGATGATGCAAATGTCAGGAGAAAACCATGAGTAATGATAAGTTTGAACTCATTAAAGATATATTTGAGGACTGGGGCTGTGGATTAGTGGTAGAGCATGTGTAAGGCACTGAGTACTAGCCTTAGCACCACTTAAAAAAAAATAAATGAAATAAAGGTATTGTTCATCTACAACTAAAAAAATTTTTTTTAAAGATATATTTGAGGGGCAGAATTGTGGTTCAGTGGCAGAGTGCTTGCCTCGCAAGTATGAGGCACTGGGTTTGATCCTCAGCACCACATAAAAATAAATAAGGCAAAATAAAGGCATTATGTCCATCTACAATTAAAAAAATATATTTTTAAACAAAGATATTTGAGATCTACAATCAGTATATACAAAATGTATACATTGTAGGTTTTTGTATAAACAGGTGATACAATCAATCAACTGCATTCAAAGAAAGTTGTCCATTTGGAGTAAATTTACCTACAAAACCAGTAAAACATAAAATATAAATTTGGATTTATTTTACTTAATTTCTTAGTAAAACTTCCAGTAAAAAAAAAATAATATCTTTATTGAAATATAATTCACAAAGGGAAAATTTACTTTTCAAAGTATCCAATGTAATCATTTTTGGTGTAGATAAAAAATTATATGCAACCAACACCACTATCTAATGTTTAGAACCTTTTTAATCTATCATCCTGAAGAGAAACCCGATGCCCATTAGTAGACATTCTCCATTCTCCCCTACCTTCAGTCCATAGCTACCACTAATCTGCTTTCTGTCTTTAGGAATGTGTCTGTTCTAGACAGATCATACAAATAGAATGATATATTATGTGTCCTTTTGTGACTGGCTTCTTTCCCATAGAATAATATCTTCAAGGTTCACCATAGTATAGTATGTATTGGTGTTTCCCTCCTTCTTTTTTTTTTTTTTTTTGGTACTGGGAATTGAACCATTGAACCAGGCGCTTAATCACTGAGCCACATCCACAACCCCTTTTACTTTTTTATTTTAAGACAGGGTCTCACTAAGTTGCTTAGGGCATTGTTAAGTTGTTGAGGCTTGCCTCGAACTTGTGATCCTCCTACCTCAGCCTCCCAATTCACTGGCATTATAGGCATGTGCCATTGCACCGGCCCCTTCCTTTTTAATGGCTAAATACTATCCCATGAATGGCTATACCACATTTTGCTTATCCACTATCACTGGATGGACAGTTGGGTCAGTGACTCTTTGGGGCTATATACTGCTGTGAGCATTCATGTACATATTTTGCGAGGGTATTTGTTTTTATTTCTGTTGGGTATATATTTAGGATCAAATGATAACTATATTTAGCATTTTGAGGAACTGTCAAACTTTTTTCTAAAGTGGCTATACCATTTTACGTTTCCATCAACAGAAATTCTTCAATTTCTCCACCACCTTGTCCTCATGTTGTCTTTTTTATAGCCATCTTTCTAGCCATCCTTGTGGACATAAAGTGTATCTCATTGTGCTTTTGATTTTAATTTTCCAGCTGACATGTTAAGCAGAATGTCATGTATTCTTTGTTCTTTTACATATTTTCCTTGGGGAAATTTATGCATATTTTTTGACCCTTAAATTGGGTTCCAATAGTTGGTTTTCAGTATTTCTTTAATTTTCTGTAAATTTGGAAGTAACTTAAAAATATTGAAAAAATGTAAAAGAAAAAACCTCCATTGGACCCAAGTGATAAATGGCTAAAACAATTTTTCTTACGATACTATTTAAATTTTTTCAACATATAGAATCTGTTTTGCAGAAATTTCTAAAAAAGAAATATTGGAATGCATAACCCCCTCATTTCTGTTGACCTCTTTTTATAAGTGAGAACTTTGAGGGCAAGATTAAACATTTAATCTGAAGTAAGTTAAGTACCTAAAGAAGCCTGCTCTGTCTGGTTGTCTCTGTTTGTTCTTAGTTATCTTTCTTTTAATACAAGGTACAATTAACAAGTAGTTTGTTAATTGTACATAATTGTACTACTTGGGAGCATTTTCTAGAAGAAATTTAGATCCTTGATTTGGTCCTTGATTTTTAAATTTCCATTCTTTCAAGCTATTGTATGATGGTGTAGGAAACTCCCAAAGATAAAATAAGAGATGTTATCAGATGTTTGCAACTATTTTAGAAGAATGGCTTAAGTTTTGGATATTTCTAATGGATTTTTTTTGTTCTTCTTTTTTCCCCTAGATATTGAAAGGTATAGTAAAAGATATATGAAGGTATACAAAGAAGAGTGGAAACCAGGTATTATAAAACAGATGATCTTAAAATACTTTTTTGAGGATAAGTTTTCTATTTCACCATAGGAAAACRGTCTGGTTCATTTTCTGTAACTCATTTGTAATGTAAATCTTTTGGAAACCAAGAGGAAAAGATTTTGATACCATAACAAGGAAAAATTGAAGTGTTTTTTTTGAAGTTTTCAAAATACATTCTTATAAAAATAGGACTTGCTAAAGCCTTTTGAGTTTTCTAGATTCAGAAGCCACAGTCACAATTTTAATTTGCAAAGAACACTTACTTCTTTGCTCTTGAATGATTTTAAAGTTTTTGAGGACAGAGTAAAAAACTAGTTTTAAGGATATTTTAAATCAAGCCCATGGATCTTCCTTTCCTTCAAGCAGACATAGGCTAGTTTTAGTTGCCAGCATGCCTTTTCATTAGAACCATAACTAAAAGAGTTTTGTTTTCAACATGTAAAATTTTACGTTGGGTGGAATGGGCTGTGGGGGAGGTCTCAACCAGCCCGTTCATTTGCGAATAAAAAGCAGTTGCTATAGAAATGAAATGATCCATCAGGGTCATTTTCCAATACATTAGAACTCAGTTTTCTTAATTTAAATTCACTTACCTTTTATCTTTGTTCATAGTTTTATAGAAATTGCCCTTATGTAAATTTCTAAATGGTACTAATAGCATTATCATTTTCATGGATTTTAGTGCTCTTTTCAAGTTAATCAACCAAGAAGATTGGGGCCCCTTGGAAATACTCATAGATCCCTCTCATTTATTCTATTTCATTAATAATCATCTCTCAAATGATTCTTTACATACTTATGATCTTCTATGAGAAGTTTATAAAAACAGATTAAAAGCAAAATTTATTAATTCATGTAAAATGACTTGAGACTTAACTTTTGTACAAATGCACAATTTATTTATTAACAATATTATTAAATCTGCTTTTATATCGCTTCAATTTTCTGCTTATCTCTATACTTAAAAATTAAAAGTAGGGGCTAGAAGTATAATTCAGTGGTAGAATGCTTGCCTAGCATATGTGAGGCCCTGGGTTCAATCACTGGTAGTTCTCTCCCCCTAGATCCCTCAAAATTCAAAGAAAATGAAGAAGTAGAGGGACCATTTTTAGCTAATTTAAGCAAAAAAAAAAAAAAAACATTTATTGGAGGGAATTTATCTTTCAACATCTATTTATATTTTTAAGTTTTCAGATAATTGTTAGAATTGTTTATTTCATTTCACATGTATTGGTATTGTGGTCACAAGTTCTAACTTTTGAAAAAACAAAGTTATATAAGAAATATCTATCAGCCAGAGAAAACTAACAAACTACAAAGTAGTCATATAATAAATAATGTTTAACAAAAACAGTTGTAATTCTAACATCCCCAAAGAATTATCCTAAGATTTTGTACCCACCAAATTTCATTGCACTATTTCAAAGTTATTTCAATGCATTTTTTTTCTTTATAGGAGAAAATTTATCGTTATCTGTTATATTCCTTATATTTTAGTCTAAATCTATACAGTTTAATACTAAGAAATTTTATTGTCATTAAATGGGCAACTGGCATATCTTTAAATAGTTATATCCAATACCACTGATTTCTAGAGGAAATGGAGATCTTTATATTTCTTCTTTTGTACACCAGATTGGAGAAGACTCCCAAGAGAGATGATGCCCAGGAAAAAATGCAAAAAAGGTACATTTAGTAGCAATAGTAATGCAGGTAGAAGGTTGTTGCTTAATTATGTTAACAGTATTATCAACCTGAAGTTATGTTCAGTGTTCTGAATGTTTTTTCTTAAAATATGTCTAGCATTTTGATTATTATGTCAAAGTTTTGTTTTTGTAACTATTATTGATTTTTGGGGGGTTGTTTAGTTGTTGTCCTTTTTTCAATTTTGGAAATTTTGTGTGCTAGGAGAAACTTCTCAATTATATAGACTTTTTCATTTGTATATCTACAAAATTTTTGATGATTATACTGGGAAACTGGCAAAATAGAATTATATTGTATATACAAATACCAAAGTGTATGTTTGCATTTTGTTTTTCTTTAGTAATTCCATTCAGTAAATAATTGAGTATTTGCTATTGCCAGACACTATGTTCAGAGGAATAAAACACAGAGCATTGTGGCACTGTCTATGCCTTACTAGAGTTGCCAGTTAAATGTAGAAAAAAACATTAAATGACTGCCTTCATTGAGAGGTGTGGGAATGGTTCTTCTAGGAAAAGGAAGTGGAGTTGATATTGAATGATGAGTAGGCGTTTACTAACATGAGGTGGTTGGAGGGACATGGACAAAGATCAGGTTGTGAGAGAAAATCATGAATTTGGTTCAGAGATGTTTTTTCTGGTTCCTTTGAGATAAACAGAAATATTTTACCATGTTGTAGAAAACAGGGGTGTGGACCTAGAATGGAGGTGGTAGTCATCAGCAGAGAGATGATAGTTGAAGTTGTGAGAAGGGATGAAATCATCTAGGATGCAATACGATAATTAAGAGGAAAGAGGCCTGAGCTTGGAGTAATGCCAACATTTAATGGACTGGTAGAGGAGTTTGAATCAGCAGAGCGAAAAAGTAGAAAGAGAGGGAGAGGTGAAACCAGAGCCACAGGAGGAAGAACCTATAATTGGGAGGGATATTTCAGAAAGTGGTCAGCAGTGTTCATGGAGGTTAAACAATGCTGCAGATAGGTCAGGTAAGACAAAGATTGAAAAACATCAGTTTATCTTTTTATATCAGTCATGGGTATCCTCAGGGAGAACTTTTTAAATGACTTGGATAGGTCTGTATTGGAAAAGGTTAAGCAGTAAGTGGGACCTTAGGAATGGAAACCTCTAGTGTAGATGAGTCTTTAGAGAATTTTGGCATCAAGAATGAAGAGAGAAAAAGGGAGTAGCCAGAGAAGTTAAGAATGGTGCACTTAGCAACTAAGAGAAGAGGAAATACCCATTGCTTTTTTAAGAGCTTTTTGAGGTATAATTGACATATAGTAAAGTGCACAGTTTGAAGGATATAATTTGTTTTTATGTATACATATGTGTAAAAACATAAATATCTACATATATATATATATAAGTTGGAAGTATTTCTATCTTATTTTAAAGTCTTATTACATAAAATATTTAGCTTGAATACAGAAAGTATGGAGATATCAGAGTTATCTACTTACATGTGCATGAAAGATTCTGGTGATGTCTTCATGGATCATAAATCAGTAGTAGACTTTCAAGAGCTGAAAAAAATGTGTCCATTTTAGAATTAATGTTTTCAAATATTTCTCAAGGACTGCTCATCCTTGGAGCTTTATGTATACATTAATCTTGTAAAATCTTCCAGTGTAGCAGAATTCCATTTATTAAAAATCAAAACAATAACAAAACTTTCTTTTTCYCATTCTGTTATAATATTTTTTATGCACATGGTATAATTTTTTTGGTTTCTTCTTCATAGGCTGTATTCTCCCTTTTGATGGCCTTCACTGATTTAGAGAAAGTAAACAGTACCAAAAGAGTCGTACGTGAAAAAAGGTTTTCTTGAAGAACCAGTTACTGACAGGTGTTGAAAGAAAGAGAAACAAACAAAATTTCAAATATATGCATACATTTGGCTATATTTGGGGGCAAAATAGTCTTTGATACTTTTCCCCCAATTATTCATATAGGATTAGGCATTATATAAAACCYAAATAATATGTAGCAAAAATGCTGAGTGGACTCTATTCTTTAATTGACTTCTTTTTCTTAAATATAGATTGGTGTGATTCTTTTTTTTTTTTTAATTGTTTTTTATTTATTTATTTTTATGCCGTGCTAAGGATTGAACCTAGCCTTACACTTGCTAGGAAAGTGCTCTGCCCCAGTTCTTGTAACTGACTTTTAGTTAACAAATCAGTAATTTATATAAGAATATTTACCTGACCATTTGTATAGTATCCATTTAACAGACTTATATATTATGAAATTAAATAATTTGATAAGTATTCCTTAGAGCAAAAGACTTCATGATATGAGTAGATCACATTCTTAGCTAATAGGTTTTGTCATTGATATTACAATATTTATTCAGATCTCATTCATATGCAATACTCTGTGTGCCACAGTTCATATTAAAGAGCTTTTGCCCTTAAGGAGGGCAGAGAAAGATAAAGATCATTACATCTGTCACTTTTGTTTGAGCAAACCTCACTAATACATGTTTGGGAGCTCTGAGCTCAATAACTCCTAAAGGGGAAATTTGGTATAACACAATAAATTGTAATTCTGTCAGTTATAGGTCATTCACCACAATCTAAAAATTTCTTCTTCTGTAGGTTAAGTGTTAATCTTTAATAAAATTACATCTTTCTAAGCCATGCTTTCTTCTGTTAACAAGTAATTTCTAGATATTTAGTTTGATCTTGGAAAAGAGATGTAATACTTCTGATGATAATGGTACAGTTTTTAGCCTATCATAATGCTTTGTTAGCTGGCAGAATTTATGTGTGAAATAATTCTATTTTCTATGCAGTTTCAGAATAGCCTTAAAGGCAATATTTTTATATGGGTAAAACAAATTATATATCCCAAATTAGAATGTTTAATTTATATGCTTTAAGTTTTGAGATTTATATGATGGATGTGTTCAGTTTAACCATTTTACTCTTCACTCCAAATGTAGTTCTTTATTGTACTGAATAAAACCTCTTTCTTGTCTCTTTTACCATTAGCAAGTGCATATTTATCCAACACTTCTTTTTTATTTTTCAAACCTAGTAACATTGCTTTGGTTAAAATGAAATGCTAATGACTGAACAGGAAGCTGATGCAGATAAAATTTTGGGAGCATTTCCTGGTAATAAAGTGCTTCCACCTGAGGTAACGTTTTAGCAATGTTGTCCCTAATGGTCCTAATTGCAAGTTCAAATTTTCAATACTTAGTAAAAATATATCTGGCTACAGTCTTAAAATATATCTTATGAGGTGATTATCATTTGTTTTGATTAGACATTGGAGAGGTGTGATAATTTATTTTGTTTACTCTTTGAGAAAATAAATTCAGTCTAAAATTATGTGACTGCTTCATGTGACATACTACTATACTATTCAGCTTATGAAAAGGCACAAAAATATAATCATGGTTGCTGTTATAGAAAAATATGTTAACTGGTGGTTTTATTTCAGCAGACCCAAAATCCAAAAAGGCAAAAGATACAGACAAAGGTACTTCACTCGCTAATACTGCAGATGTTTTGAAAAAAATTGAGGTAGGGTTTTCTTCTTACTATAAAAATAAACTGAAAATATGTAAAAATGATTCCTTCTCACTTTAAYCTTTCAGCCTTCTCTTACTTTTTAATAAATGGATTTGGCAGAAGCAAGCCTCCACAAAAGCCAATGAGAAGGTTTGAACTTTGTTACCTGGGACATTTGGAAACTTCCCCCCTCCCCCCTCCCCCCCCATCCTTCTTGACCACTTACCTGGCAAAGTACCTCAACCTCTACCACAGGCTTTCTTTTCTACCATATCCCTATTTTCCCCTTGCATTTGAATTATTTGTGGAGAAGAGAGAAACATGAAAAGGTTGCCTAAAATATAGTTCTTTCAAAAAAAAAAAATCTCATTTTTCCTCCTGTTAGTGTATATGTACTTTTTAAAATGTTTTTCCCCTCGTGTCTTATAATATATATAGCAGGTTCTATTGAGGAAAAAATTGTATCTTATGGAATTAATTTTTTTATCTTTTTCTTCTCTCTTTACCCCCCAGCCCCACTTACTTTTTTCCATGTCCCTGCCCCCAGTATGGGGGAGTTAATCCAGGTATGCAATACTATTAAGTTATATCCCTAGCCCTTTTTAAATTTTATTTTCAAACAGTCTCATTAATCTGGCCTCAAACTTGTGATCCTCCTGCTTCAAGTTAACAGTAAAGATACCATTTTTAAAAATAAACAGATAAAATAAATCAGAACGTTAATAGACTGAAAATTTGCTCTCCCATCCCTCTCCCAGTCATTTATTTCCCTCACTGTTGACTATCAATGTTTCTTGTATAGCCTTCCAGAATATTTTTATGTATAACAAAAACAGAATCTCCCTTTTTAAAGACAAAAGACAGTATATCCCAGTCTTTTGCATCTTCATTTTATCACTTAACAAAATATCTTGGAGGTGGTTCCATATCAGTCTATATAGAGTTGCCTCATTCTTTATTATTATTATTATTATTATTATTATTATTATTATTAGTTGTTGTTCAAAACTTGCCTCATTCTTTTGGTGACTATACTATAAGAATGTGCCCTAATTAATTCAATTAATGCTGGACATTATGTTTTTTATAGTGTTTCACTATTATCAATAATGATGCAATAAGTTCATGTTGAGTATGTCATTTCACATGAGTAGATTTCTAGTAATGGATTTGTTGGGCCAATTGTTTTTTCTACATATAAAATGATTAATTATTGCCATATTGCTCTCCCTGGAGTTTATACCAAATTACTCACAATACCAATGTGTGTATTTACTATGCATTGATGATGATAATAGCAGTAAGTTACTGAGAACTTACTATGTGTCAGGCTCTTTGACAAGCTCTTTACATGCAGTATTACCTTAAGAGTTTGAAACACCAAAAGAGAGGTGGGTATTATTATTCCTTACTTACAGAGGAGGAAGTCAAAGGTGTAAACACAATTACTTGCCAGATCAAGCTGACACAGTTACTTGGTGGCAGAARCTCATTTTTTTGCTATTTTATTTTTTGGCCCATACTTGAGCCTGAGATAACATGTCTGGRAAATAAAGCCAGAGGATTGATAAAGGAATAGTAATAACTGTCAGGCTTAACTGTGGTGGAATGACAGATGAGATTGCAGGACATCTAGCTTGTGAACACAGTTCTGGCTGCTCTTAAAGCCTCCTGGAAAAAGTTGCTGCAATGACTGTAAGAAGCTATAGGGAAGATTAMTCTGCACCTCTGGGTGTGGTTTCTCTTCAGAACAAACTATTTTCTTATTCTTTACATTTAATACCATTTCCAGAAAACAGTGTTAAAATTGGAGTTTTAGATCTAGATATCCCAGTGAGTTAGCAACTTTAATATTACGAAAGCTATTTCTATTTGATTCTGTGATTGTTCATTTGTTCAGCAAAAGGAGGTTCAAACTGATTACAATAGAATACCCTTATATGGGGAGGTAGCAACATACAGTCAGATCTCATGAATAATCAGCCAGCAATAAACTGGCATACAAGTTTCTTATTTCTGCATGACATAGAGGGGAGGTTCTATGTGGTGCCTGTATAGTATTTAGGATAGAAGAACAGTTCTCCATATGTAAATGAACTGTCTTTGAAATGATTTTACATTATATTATTATTTTTTATTCTTAAATATTTAATGTAATAAGCTTAGGTAGTTAAATAACATAGAAAAGAAAATGGAAGCTACCAATCAGAAGGGCTCACACCRGTACCTTAGCCCAGAAGAAGGAAGTATTGAGATAAATTGTGTGGCTCTGGAATCACTTTTTAACAGAATGTCATAGAACTCTTCTGTTTGTTAATCTRCTTAAGTACTTTATGGGTTTGGTTTGGGTCTGTGGGGTAGAAAGATGAAGTTATTTATTTAAAGATATTTGAGATGAYAGTAGTAAAAATGTAGACTTCCTTATCTCTATGTCACACTGAATGTTCTGTATTTAAAAAATATTTTCCATAAACTGGTTAAATAACTGCTAATTATAAAATAATGATTAATAGTTTTTTTTTTCAGAAACAGCAAATGCCTTGCACAGAGTTAAATGATTATAGCACAATTTCCATTTTAACTACACAAACTTATGCATTTCAGGCCTTTTTTATTTATGATCTGATTAAAATAGAAAAGACAAAATGCCATTTATTAATTAGTATTAACACAGTATTATATATATATATATATATATATATATATATATATACACACATACATATATGTGTGTGTGTGCGTGTGTGTTTTACAGATATTTTAAAAGATCTATTTCATCTGCAAGTATTGTGTTGTAATTTTTCCGAGAACATTGCCAGTTGGAAAAATCACACACATTACAATGTAGTAATAACTCACAAGGCAACATAAAAGATGGTATCAAGATAAATCATCTCATGTCTATTACCTTGGTCTTATTTGTTCTTCCTGAGAGGAGTGTGTATACACAGGAAAAGGAGATCTTGCTAAGAAATTGAATCTACATGATGTCCTCTCATTGCCTTTGATTTCTTTAACTTCAACTTGGATATAATTAAAAGGATTTTAAAAATAAATATTTAAGAACCAACAAATAAATAGCTAAGTTGTAACCATCTCAGATATAACAGGTTTTCTGTTCATATATAATCTACAAAGCACATATATTGTGAAACAGATGGTGCATTTGTTGATGGATAAGTGTTCTAATTACTACTTATGAATAATCACAAATTGGTGCTGGAGTTGTGGCATGGTGATAGAATGCTTGCCTGGCATGTGTGAGACCCTGGGTTTGATTCTCAGGACCACATATAAGTAAATTAATWAAATAAAGATCCATTGACAACTAAAAAATGTTAAACGAAAAAGAATAACAAATTAGCTAAAATAAAGCCTTCATTATTAGTATTAATATGAAATTATTGTTATACCTACCTTCTAGAAGACTTTTGAATTTCTAACATTTTTGCAAAGTGAGCAATAGTACAATTTAGGAGAGTGACAGTAATAACAACAGGTCTTTTTTTATCTAATGAAGAAAATCATTGATAGTCATAATAGAAATGCAAAGATGCAATTTTAAAGTAAAGTTTATATGCCATGAGAAGGTAGCATAATGATTTTTACCAAGTGGATAAGTGTAGCCATCAGGCAATCAAAACTTTCGTAATTTGGATTCTCTCCTTTGTTTCCTCTCTTAGAGTTGCTAATGATCACTAGCGTTGAGTGTGATCTAAATTTTAATTTCCAGATATATTATAAAATCCTGCAAATGTGAAGTAAACAATGAAGAACAAGACAGAGATAGACAGGGATAGTCTGTGATTAGGATACTTTCTCCCAGAGTGACACTGGTTTTCAGCAGTCTCACTTATAAATGAAAACATGGACAATTTGAAATATTACCATTACATTCTTTTTTTTGTCCTTTTATGTTAAAAGGGAAACAAAATAACATTCTGAAAGTTTTTCTCTATAAACTAAATCATGTCAAATGTTTTAGAAGGAGGTAGGATAGAAATCATAAAAATAAAGCATTGTGCATCAGAGCTGACAAACACAGCATTACCTAAGATCCAACTATTAAGTTACAAAATCAAAGAAATACTCATGTAATTATAGGACAGTGAGTGCTTCCTTTCTTGAGTCAATTTATGGTTTCCAACTCATGGTGTGGAGGTAAAATGGGATKAGAGGAAAGTATGTTCTCTTTAGGCTGGGCTGGGAGGTCAAAGTTTAGTGCTTCCATATAAATTAATGAAAGTCACTTATACCAGGAATTGGAAAAGAGAGGTGATGGTGAAAAATCAGATGAGGAAAATGAAGAAAAAGAAGGAAGCAAAGAGAAAAGTAAAGAAGGTGATGATGATGACGACGACAATGAGGATGCTGCAGAGGAGGAGTATGATGAAGAAGAGCAAGAGGAGGTAAAGGTCTATTGGGGGAGAGTAACAGTTACCWACCATAAAGATTGTCTAATAAGTAATCAGATGTATGGTATATAATTAAAATCAATAACCAGCTTGATAGGAACCAGAAGTATATTCTTGTCACTGGCATCAATTCYTTGGTATCAAGAGGATTATTACAGCACTGAAATGATAATCATGCCAAACTGAAAGATAAAGTAACTTCCTACACAAGTTTGTAAGTGGAATTCCATAAATTAAGGCAATTTATCAGATTAAGTGCAATTAACAAATCTTATCAAAACTTTAGTCAGCCATTTAAGGTAGTAGAGAGTTTAGTCATACAGGTCTGGAAGGGAGTCCTTACAGTGGTACCATGACAGCATGGACATTATTRGAGAATATTGATGGTTTAGTTTCAGGTGTCTGGCTTAATCAGGACTCCATGTTTTGGATTTGGTATTTCCAATTTWAGAAACATGGTGCATTTCAAAAGCTGGAGTTAATCAAGTTTATTGGTCRTAGCCTTTTTGCAGCTGTGTCAACACTTCATACAACAAGCCTAGGCTAAGAGTTTCTTCTCTGTTCTGCTGAACTTCATCTTCAGTCCATTTCAATGTGTTTTTGTTTTTGTTTTTTGGTACCAGGGATTGAACACAAGGGTGCTTAACTATTGAGCCACATCCCCAGCCCTTTTTATCTTTTTTATTTTGAGACAGGGTTTYGTTAAGTTGCTTAGGGCCTTGCTAAATTACTGAGGCTGGTTTTGAACTTCTGATCCTCCTGCCTCAACCTCCCAAGTTGCTGGGATTACAGATATATGCAGCTGTGCCCAGCCATTCCATTTCACCTTCTTTTTTAACATATTCTGAATCTTGTCTTCACCTGAAACAGCTCCAAATGTGAAGACTTTCTGTTTTAATTATTTTGCATTACATTTTGCATTTTTTGAAATTTCTATTAATATAAATGGAGAGATGGATTTTTATGTTTCCAGTGGCTAAATGGCTGCTAAGCCCATTTGTTAAATGATTTGCTTTCCTCATTGATTTAAAACTCTGCCTCTGTCCATTATTAGATTGCCATATTTACAAATAGATGTGTGTCTGAACTCTTTTTCCATTGATCTACTTCTGGAACAAGTTGGCCTGTCTTTCCTGCTTCCCTTTTTTGTCAGAATTTTCCTGAGTGTTCTCTTTATTCTTGCAGATAAATTTTAAGTTTAAACATTTAAAATTAAACATATCTCACTTGTACCCAGCTCTCTTTCCAGATCACTCTTCTCATTGCACTCTGATTGAGACTGCTGATACAACTGATCCTTAGTCTCCTATTATTGGTTCTGTTTTAATTTCCTTCTCTAAGGGGCTTAGATCCTTGCTTACCTTTCATTCTCTCGCCATTACTCTGACTTATGTTTGGTCTCCCAGCACACTATCTAGACAAAAGCAGTCTTTGATCTTTTCTGCTCTTTGCTTCTTCTTCCCTTCAAACCTATGTAGTGAGCATTTCTGAGGAATCACAGATACTAATGCCACTAAATAAAATAGTAACCCCACTTTGTCAGCTAACATATTTCCTGTTTCTCTTGTTAAATTACCGCTGTTTAATTGTTTCAGATAATCTTTGTTCTTCTCACTTCTTTACCACTTTTTCTTGCACTCTTGGCAGGAAATAGTTACTGCATATAGAAAATAGAGCCATTAGAGGAAATTCCCTTAATTTCATATTCTCTGTCTTCAAACTCAATGTCTTACCTCTTCCTTTGCTTTTTTTTTTTTTATCAGTGGAAGAAATTCCCTTCATCCTATTTGGTGCTAATCATTCTGCCCTTTTTTTTTGCAAACCATAAGCCTCAGGTCATTTCCCTTTCCATATTTTCAATATTTTTTGTACATATTTATCTCTCAGTATAAAATGTTTCCCACATTGTCCTTCCAACTCTCATGCTGTCACAAAGCTGCTTCAGCTGTCATCATTTGCTCACCTCTCTCCCCCATTGAGCAATTTTTAATCTGATTTTTACCTCCATGTTATTCAATTTATTGTTGTGAACTCTACCACAGACAAAATTTAGTCCTTATTTCACATGGCTTTTCTGAAGCATTCAACACTAGGAAAAATTATGACAACTCTTTTTATTCTAATATTTTATTTGTTCTTTTTAGTTATATTTTACAGTAGAATGTATTTTGACATCTTACACATTATTCATGGAGTATAATTTCCCATTCTTGTGGTTGTACATGATGTGGAATTATACTGGTTGTGTATTCATATGTGAACACAGGACAGTTATGTCCAATTCATTCTACTGTCTCTCCTGTTGCCATCTTCCTTCTCTTCCCTTCATTCCCCTTTGTCTAATCTAACAAACTTCTACCCACCACACACACCCATTTATGTGTGTTAGCATCCACATATCAGAGAGAACATTCCACCTTTAGTTTTTTGGGATTGGCTTATTTCACTTAGAATGATGGTCTTCAGTTCCATCTATTTACTGGCAAATGCCATAATTTCATTCTTCCTTATGGCTGAGTAATATTACATTGGATATACCTACACCACATTTTCTTTATCCATTCATCTGTTGAAGGGCACCTAGATTGGTTCCATAGCTTAGCTACTGTGAAGTGAGCTGCCATAAACATTGATGTAGCTGTGTCACTATAGTATGCTGATTTCAGGTCCTTTGGATGTGTGCTGAGGAGTGGGATAACTGGGTCAAATTGTGGTTCCATTTTAAGTTTCCTGAGGAATCTCTATACTGCTTTCCAAAGTGGTTGCACCAATTTGCATTCCTGTTGGCAATATATGAGTGAACCCACATCCTTGCCAACATTTATAGTTTCTTGTATTCTTGATAATTGCCAGTCTGACTGGAGTGAGATGAAATCTCAGTGTAGTTTTAATTTGCATTTTTCTAATTGCTAGAGATGTTGAACATTTTTTCATATATTTGTTAACTGATCATATCTCCTCTTCTGTGAAATTTCTGTTCAGTTCCTTTGCCCATTTATTGATTGGGTTATTATAACAACTCCTTTAAGACATTATTTCTTTTATTTTAACTAAACAATTAAGAAGACTGTGGGCATCTACTGTACACCAGGCATTGTTCTAAGTGCCAAGGGAAACATGGTTGCTGCCCTTTCTTTTTGATATATAATGCTTCTCATTTTTTTGTTTCTTATACTTTTTTGTGGTATCTTGAGTTCTTCCTAATAGTCTCTGAATTGTAGTAGTGTGATTATACTGGTATTATAGAAAGCTCAGTTGTTTGGACTAGAAGGAGCAAAGTGTAGATCCTAATTCAAACATGTTGCTGTCAACCAGGTCTCCTCAGCCGGCAATAATTTTGTCCTTTAAGTGATATTAATTAGTGGGCATGGTGGTGCATGCCTGTAATCCCAGCAACTCAGAAGACTGAGGCAGGAAGGATTGCAAGTTGAAAGCCAGCCTCTGCAACGTACCGAGGCCCTAAGCAACTCAGTGAGATCCTGTCTCTAAATAAAATATTAAGAAAAGGACTGGGAATATTGCTCAGTAGTTAAGTGCCCCTGGGATCAACCCCCAGTACAAAAAACAAACAAAACAAGACAAAACCAACATTAGTTAAAGTCAGGAGACAGTTTTGGTTGTCAAAACTAGCATATGAGTGCTACTAGATTCTAGTGGGTAGTGGCAGTATTCTGGACTACAGTGATTTTTGGAAAAGTCCACTTGAGTTGACTGTAKATCACATCTGGATTGAAATTAAGATCTCCTTTTACAGTGGATTTAAACTGTATTGTGCAGTATTTTGCTAAAACCCAGTGYAGAGTTCTTCTTGAGTCCCAGTATTCATTGTTTTTGTAAGTGGGTACATATAACTCCATTTTATTAAAAAATTAAACAAAAGCGAAAAGCTTCTTCAAACTAATAGAGAAACAAGGTATTTTGAGTGAGAAATTGAAAAGAGTACTCCATTAAAGCCTTTCTAGATGTAAAGTTATCCTTTTTGCTCTTTTTAGCTACTAATTATTTAGTTGAAAATTTGTGGCATTAATTTACTCAATGAATTGTCAATTTCATGAGCATTTTGTTTTGAAGGATAAAATGGAACAAATTATCTGTATAATACCTATATATTAAATCAAGAAAATATAGACTTTGTTCTTTAATTTTAATTTTTTTTGTAGTTGTAGATGGACAGAATGCCTTTATTTATTTTTATGTGGTGCTAAAGATCAAACCCAGTGCCTCACACATGCTAGGCAAGCACTGTGCCCCTGAGCTACAGCCCCAGCAAAAACTTTGTTCTTATTCAAGGTTTTTAATATTGTAATTCAAGAAAAAAACAAGGATCAAATGAGCCATCAGTTTCAACAGCTTCTRCTACTTTATTCGTATATCATATAATTTCTCAAAATTACCTCATTCAAACCACTGAACATAGTTGAAGGAAGTGCTTATGTCTAACAACCAAGTAATATACACTTTAGGGTACTAGAGTTGCCCTTCCTTACTCATTTCTACTTTTCTCTATCAGTTGTCTTGCTTACATTTCCACACATGCATGTGTGCTGAGGTTATATATAGAATTATGACTATTTATATGGTGGTCTCATTTGAACTCTCACCCTTGCCACATCCCTTCTCAGTACAAGGCTCTGGGCTTCAGCTAGGTTTCTAGACATTTCTGAATCTTGGCACCAGAGAAGCCAGGCCAACTTTCTGGACTGGAAAAATCCTAATAACCTGGACGTAGACACTTATGTAGGAAGTCAAAGTAAGGAGATACCTCTCCATGCATTTGGTAGATACATGGTATTTTAAGTTCACTAAACGATGTATCATCCCACTAGGGAAAACTGCTTTAGATATATCTACTGTGATGAATTGGCCAAACCTTCATGTGTCTAAAGTAGTTGGTGCCTGAGAATACTAGGAAGTGGTGTCTTGAGGAAGAAAGTAGCACAGGCAGACATGTATGAAAACTAATGTGTCTTTTAGAGATTTTTGAAAACCAAAGACTCTTCTTGTAAGCCTGTTTTATTTTATTACCTAAATTTGGTATTTATAAACTTAAAGGAACAGTCTTCATTGTATTCTTTAATAATAATTTTACTACTTTTTAATTTTAGTTTTACTAAGAAATATATCATTTCACTTAGGAAAATGACTACATTAATTCGTATTTTGAAGATGGAGATGATTTTGGTGCAGAAAGTGACGACAACATGGATGAAGCAACCTACTAGCCATAAAATTTCTCAAGAAAAAAATTAATGATTATATAGCTTCTAAGCAGTTGGACAGACTTGATTTATGTTTTGTTGGACAAATATTTGTTACTGAAATAGTCATAATTGCTTTTATACATTAGTTACCTTTTAAATTTATCTGACACTCTGACATTCCTCTTTAACAACTTTGCCATCTCTCTTGTGTATGTTAGTGGATTTTTGTATTATTTGGATTTGATTATGCTAAAGAGTTTTTGCATCTCTTAATCTATGTATTCATACATACTTGAACAACTTATTCTTGTTTAACTGATCTTTTTTGTAAAATTATTACTAGTTGTAATGGATTTCTATCACCTGAAGATGATTTAATATAGCACATGGAGCACTTTAAAAACAAAGAAACTTGAAAATTATCTTTTACGTGCTATGTTCTATACTATTACWTTATGACTCCTTAAACCTGCCTGGGCTCTTAAAGTACAAACTTATAAGATTGGAGGTTTAATGATCAAAAACATACATGCAGGGAAAAATGTCAATCTGATGTATTTAAATTTCACATTTCACATGTCAGCCAGTACAGAGAGGCTTTCATTTGGGATGAATATTATAAATACTTGAATTTGGGGCTAACTTTATACCATACAAAATATGTTAGTGATCCTCTGTAGTAAGTTTGACATGTTCAAATAGTTGGGCTTTTGAAAAATTAGACTGAAACATCTTGTTTATTWCTTAAGTACATAAGTCCTGGTTATATAAATTTCATGGTAGAAAGCATGAGTGTGAATTTGGTCTAGTATAGTGGCCTCTATTATGCTTCACAGGACTCAAAGGCTGTATAGTTGATTATAATATAGAATTAACTCAGGTCATTAATCTTTTTTGTTTAACTTAAAAGCTAGCTCCCTGCCATTTTATATTCTGGGGAGAAAATGCCTAGAAACCTCAGCCTCCAAAAACTTAAATATGCCAAAGATTTTCAATGAAATTCATATAATAGATTTCAAAAAAAGACTACTTCTCATTACCCACCAAAAGAAATGAAGAAAATTTATTTTTACCTATTGGGAAGATATTACTCATTACCCACTAACCTGAGAATCAGAGCCCTAAATTTTATTTCTACTGTAATATTAAGTTCAACCGTGAAACTTAACTTGATTAATTTTCTGTGCCTTAGTTTTTCCGCTTGTAAATTACTTCCTATAAAAAGTGTTTAAAACTAACCAGAATTTACCATGTTTACATTCTCTTACTTTAGAGAAATAAATGATCATATCTTAAATTTGATTCTTATCTTTTAAATAGTTGAAGCTTAGAAAGTGACTGAAAAACATTTTGAGAAACAAATGTTTTCCTCATAATCAGGTTTTCCCATCTTTCATTTGTGGGGAAAATTTGTATTGTCTTGTGCAATTTTGCAACATGATTGTCTCAGGAAAAAGATCATTTTCAATYGCAATACTTCCTCAAGTAATTCAAGATGGGTATGAGAACCCATCTTATTAGTTTAATGCTGTACTCATAGTATGTGACTTCTCATTAAAGGAGTGTATCAAAAGATCTTTAGATTCTAAATGGAAATATGAATAAGTCTTCTTTAAAGCTGCAATCTATTAGAATAGAAACCTCATATGAAGTTTTTAGTAATAATGGCAAAGTTGTCATTTGGGAATAATTAACATAGGTGTTTTATTCTCACTTCCTTTGGTGTACCACAGCCAAATACCATTTTGTTTATAGAAATCTTATTTCTATATTTGTTTACTTCCTTTATTATAAATGTGCAGATCAAAGCTTGAACCAAGCAAATACACTGAAGGTAAAGGTATTTCTTTTCCTAGCTTTATATTTGTCTTTATAGTCCTAAAGATAGTTAGGCCAGCACCTTTGGACAGGGATTTACTCTTGAGAGGTCCTGGCCATCTCTCATTTAAACTTATTTCCCCACTTTGGAACAACTTTTTACAATTTTAAAGTATGCTAATCGTGAGATCAGACAGGGTCTGAATATTGCTTTACCAGCACAAATCATCTTTTTCTTTTCTTTTTCTGGTTGAAGATCTGAGACTGTGAAGTTATTCCACAGGAAGGCAAGAGATATCTTAATATATACATGTGTRTGTGTGTGTGTGTGTGTGTGTGTGTGTRTRTRTAYAYAYAYAYACACACACACACATACACATGAACACAAAATACTTATTGGTGATGTGTCTTTAAAATTATTATAACAAGCAAACCTGGTTGCTGTAATGTTTATTTTTCTGTATTTAACATTAAATTCTTAAAAAATAAAATTGTCTCCTTTTGTTTAATATTTTTAGTTTCAACCTTTATTAATAGGTAAGAAAAAGTATTTTGTAAATACAGGTTTTACATAGTAACTATGTATTTATTGAGCAGGGTTACCTCTGTGAAATATCTTTGAATAAACCATCACAAACAACAAATGAAAACTCTAGGTATGTAATTAATTAGGAAAAAAGTTGTGAYGACAAACCAAGAGATTTGGCAGACAGTATAATATTAGTGTCATCACTGGTTTGCTAAATGACCAGATAATGCTAAGAAATTCAGACAATTCTTCTTAGCCTTTCCTCCCTTACCACCTTCAAATCAGTAGCTTTGCTTTAATGTAGCTAAAGTTTCTGGACTTCGTAAAAATCTCCTTTTAACAAAAAAAAATCTAAACACAATTTTAAGACCAATATGCTTTTAAAAATGGGAAAATCAAGGAGAAACATATGGAAAAAMCCCCACAGTTTCCTCCATTAATAAATGTTCTAAAGAACTTTCTCAATTAGGCTTCTTCTAATTTTTTAAAATTAGTATTTTTGAAGGAGAAATATTTTTGTCTTACCATTAAAATTTACAGATAAATAGAGCATTTTATATGATTTCATAAGCAAGTTGTAGATCATGCCTGAGCAAGTCTTCTAGGAGGAAAACCCTCTAAACACCCTTCCTCTAAAATTTCCTTTTTTTTTTTTTTTTTTACATTTATGACCTATAAATAATCCAGAAGATTTTGTTTAAGCACAGCAAGTAAAAACCTTAACTCATAAACCRTTGGCAACTTTATCAATCTTAGAGTGTCTCTAGAATGTCAGTTTGAAAGTAGAGAAGAAAAGTTTGCTTTAGTCAATTAAATTCACCAGCCTGAATTTTAGATTGAATAATAAAATAGAAACTTTATTACATTTTACATCTTTTAAAATATGAAAAACGAGGCAAAAAGTTTTAAAAACCAGTTTTACAGATGTATACTTAACATAATGTTCTATTATTACATTGTGCAATTGTATAAAATACATTATACAAAAGATTTATAAATTTTGCATACATAAAATGAATTAAATAAAGCAAATATGTCTATGGTCTAACAGTGCAATATGCACATACTTATAAGAAAAATACTGATTTCCTGAGCAACATTGTTGTAATTCTAACTAAGAATGATTCCCATCATAATGCACCATTTAAATAGACTGAACTCCCTTTAACACTTTGACTGGACCTCTACTTCATTTTCTAAAACTAACTATATCCTTCATATTCCCAAATAGGTAATGTTGGAAGTAGATATTACTAAGTAGTGGTTTGTTTAAAGAACTTTCTAGGTCACTGACCAAGCAAGTAAAAGTCCAGAAAAGAAAGTAAATCAAAAAGTTCTTTGGGGAAGATAATTTGAAATTACATGTTTCTTTCTAATTCTTAACAGGGCCAGGAGACCATAACCCATCTTTTTTTCTAGGGGTGGACAGCAAAAATATTTAACCTAAATGGCTACCCATTAGTTCAAAACAACCTTTAAGCCATGTCTATCCAAAATTAAARACAAAAACCAAAAAACCTGCCCTAAAAATAATGTATTTTTTCTTTACTTGCAACTCCCAATTTTTAAGTAAGCCAAATACTATGATTCACAGTTTTGTTACATTCGCATACACACATACAAATGTAAGGCCTTAAATTCAGACAAGGGTTTCAACACAATTAAAATCCAATATCAAACAATTATGCTTATCTAATTATATAACATAATTTGCATTTACAACAAATTGAATGTATATTAGTACTTTTTAAAAGCTAAAATTTAAAATCTGAATTCTTAAGGAATTTTTCTTTTAAAAACAAAGATTAAACTCTTTAATTCTATATATATAACCTATATACATAGAATTATATGTAATTCAAATGTACAGAAAAGGGAAACTGCCTGATTGTGTTTTATAAGGATATGATGTATTTCTTTCAAAAAGGATACTCAGAAAGACAGAAATGAATTTTAGCCAACTTCAGTATTTTCTTACTTTAAAAATAAGTAATTAGACCCCTTTGTCACAATTTCAAAGTAAAGCTAACAAAAATGAACCAGTGACTCTAACCTTATCAATTTGATGTAAATATATCTTTAAAGGATGTCAAGACTGTTCTAACTGAAATAATCTGCATTTACTATCCTAAAACTTGATTTTTCAGYAGGCTTAAATGGTATATAAACTAGCCAAATTAGCAATTAGCATAAATTGAAAGATCATACTCCTCGTTTCCAGATACCCAAGGCACATTAAAACAACTGAGAATTATTTTACTGAAAAAAATCAATTCACAACTTTCCTATTGAACACTCTGGTCATTTTCTAAAGTCCTCTGATACATACAAAGATTTTTAAATGTTTGGCTTCTTTGTCCTTGTTATGATGCTTTCTCCTGAAAGTATATAAATCCCAATTACCATAAATATTTATACCATTTCATACCAAGATCAGAGTTTCTGATGTAAGATATTGAAATATCAGAAAATATACCCAGAAAATGAGATGGTATTATATATCTTAAGGTATATTCTTTATTATACACAAAACAGGCAATCCAGACTCCACATCTCATATCTATTGAGTCATTAAACAACATTTTTAAAACACACACTTTTAAAAAATGATAGGATCAGTATGCAAACATTTCTTTTATTTAGTCAGACTGGCTGATCCACAGTATATCTTATAAAAATGGTACTATCAAGTCCTTTCAACCATCCACTTTTTGGCCTCTTTTCCTCAATGTGATGCTACAATTCAGGGGGGAAAAAAGTCTAGGTTGGATATTTTCCCTTTGAAAAACAGGTTAAGAGATCAACAAATACAGCAACTATCTCCTATTTAATGCAAAAGGCCTCTTGTTTTTATTTTTGCTTGATGAACCGTTATCTACAATAGACCTCAAAGGTAATAAAGATGTGTTTTGATTCATTAACTTGTGCTGCAAAGTGAAGGTAGAGATGAGCTTGGTTAATTAACCTATACTGAATCMAACTGGACCATCTGAAACAATGTTTAAATTCTAAAACTTATATTAACTTACATAAAGTAATATTCTAAGGCAGTAAATGTAATTAAGGCCTGTTACTATATGTAACAGCAATGATTTATCACAGTATGTAAGGAGTTATTTCCTAAATAATGCTAATCTATACATGTATAACACTTTTCATYAAAGAAGTACAAAAAATGTTTTCAAATATCAGAGGCAAATATTTTAAAAATAGAAGTAGAGGTGAGGTTAAAGGGTCTGTCTTAAGCATTCTTTAAAAGACAAGATTACATTTGGGTCCTGACCTAATCCAGTGTTCTAGTGATCAAAGAGCAACTTCCCAACCATAACACATTATTTKGGGGTCTTAAAAATATTTAATCTATTTCTCAACCTCTATTGTAGAAGTTATACATTATGTTTCCATTTGTTTCTACCTGTGTTTTCAKAGCACATGTCCTAAATGTTTTTAAAGTTTCAAGATGAATGTTAAACACTCACTATCATGAATAATTTCAGAATCAAATTTTTTGCAACTAAATATTTCGGTGGTTCACAAATTTTCTTCAGTTGCAAACATCTGAAACTATCATTATTCTGATTCAAAAATTTAACATGAATAATCTTAAAGGAGAATTACTTTAACAATATTTAAACATAGTCTTAAGTAAGAAAAATGATACATCTTCCAATTTGAGAACTTCCTAAGCACAAATTTAAATTCATTTCTGCTTWAAGTATTCATATAACATATTCATGGATTGACTATTTTTAACATCAACAACTAGCAATTTCAGGGATTTTATACATAATCCACTTGTAAATGGCTCAAAAACTTTTAGAAAGGTAAAAAAATAAGCATCGTCAGTCACCCTAAACTCTGCCTCTGAAGTGGATACTGGATATAATCGAGTCACCTCATTCCAGATACACTTGATCCCTATTATTTTGATTATGAGCTAATTGCTATGTTTTGTGTTGAGCAGCAGGTGGCTGAGARTCTTCTCTATATAGTTTATGATCATCTTGTTGACCAACATGTATTCCTCTAGTTGGAGGAATTCCATTTTCCATTTCTCTATGCTGTGATGGGGCTGTGATTCCTGAATGGAAATGTGAAGAGTCCACTGTTGAATGGTGACTAACATCCACTTTAGCTAAAATTTCATAATAGAGCAAATAAAATACTGGTGTTATTATACCTACTATCAACATTATCACTACTGCAGTCCACCAGCCTATTCCCCAGTCTGCTCCATAATAGGGATCCTTGCGTTGGGTGTTTTTGTTATCAGGTTCAAAACGGATTTGTTGTGCAGTTAAGGCAGACACTACCTCATTAAGGTTCTCTTTCTTGGTGTCTGTACACTTTACTATTTGTTCTATGTCTCGATCTACTTCTTTTAAAAAACTGCCAGCTGATTCACTAGAAGAAAGACAATCATTAGCTGGCAAAACTTCCTGTTGTTCTGGAGCATATTGAACAGATGAAGGACGTGAAGCCTGTCTTCCTTTTGGAGGATAAAGTGTTTCAGCCAATGAACTAAACTTTTTAACTGGAATTTTGACAGACCTAAGGGCAAAAAAGTCTTGATCACTGATGAGATTATTAACTCTCTTGATATCTGCTACCTGTAAAAAAGAAAAATTAAACATTCAACTGAATTATAAATCACACCAGAGGTAACAATTGTCACTGATCTCATTTCTTTGAGGGGCAAAAGATTTGAGCTCAATTATTAGTAATATTAAGTTACCAYACCCAGAGAGATTTTAATTTTACTTGTAGATGAGAATCTAAACTGCTTTTGATCTACCAGGCTTAGGAAATCTCCAACTGCTTTTTATAATCACCCACATACTAGTAACACTAATTAATATAATTTAAGTAAATTCTAGTTGTTTCACTTTGTATATCATGCACAAATATCACTGTACTGTTGTGTCTTTAAGCARTTTGCAAAGGAAGCATTACAGATACTTATGTTCTTTATTACAATTTGGCAATTGGAATGTAAGCAAATGTTAACTTACCCAAGTGCCATCATTTATCAAAACTAAGAAGCCATCAACTCTAAGATGTACCATTATTTTGTATTATCTTTAAGGCAGGAAAAAAACACCAAATGTAATGATGAGTCATCATCCAAATTTCAAAGATGTTAAAAGTGTGAAAAAAATCTTTAAGAATATAGTAATTCATCCCTCTCATYTGTCTTCTAAGGCCATTTTTTCCCTGAACTCCTCAGTGTACATGCATAYATTTGTCACATGCAATATCAGTCACAGATGATTTCTCTCCACATAGTAAATAACCTCCAACTGTCCATATATCCTATGCCATTGTGATGAGGGGGAAGACAGGAGCATTTCTCAGATTACCAATAAGTATGCTAGGCTCTCTCACCACATCTAAGTTAATATTCCCATTTATTGTTCCTATCAATGTTTTAATCTAAGCTAATCATGTATTATCCAACTGATATCAGAGAGGTAATGTTGAGTCTAGGATGGAACTTAGATTGTGGTTTGGTCAACTGCATGTATGATGACACCATTYAATGAGATATGTAGTACTGTGTTTGGTGAGAACAGGATTTTAGACACAYTGGCTTTGAGGTACTTGAGATATACTAGTGGAAGATATTGAAGACATATGTCTGAAAACTCAGAAGAATGATTTATATCCCTGAGGAATGGCAACATTTGAGAGAGGTGTCAATAAATCCACAAAGGAGATTTAGAAGAGTAGCGAGGAAGGCAATATACAATGGTGGTTAAAAGATAGGTATCTAGGGCTGGGATTGTGGCTCAACGGTASAGGGTTCGATCCTCGGCACTACGTAAAAATAAAGGCATCGTGTTGTGTCCATCTACACCTAAAAAATATTTTTTTTAAAAAAAGGTATGTATCTAGGTTTGAAGCCTGATTCACACTTTCTAGTTGTGTGTTGAGGCAACTTGTTTAACCATTTTGCATTCAAATTTCCATACCTATAAAATGTCAGTGGTTCTACAACCTACCTTACAGATGGGCTGGGGTTGTAGCTCAGTGGTAGAGTGCTTGCCTGTTATGTGTGAGACACTGGGTTCAATCCTCAGCACCACATAAAAAAAAATAAAGGTTTTGTGTTCACCTACAACTAAAAATCTAAAAAATAAATAAATAAAACATATGTGGAACACTTTGAGCACTAATATAAATGCTATGAATGTTAGYTATTATTAGATATTAGTAGTAGGAAAATCTGAAACCAGCCAAGTCAGGCATGTCAAGCGAAAAGCTTTTAGGAGGAAGTGGTGAACAGACTCAAATGTAGATTAGTGATCAAGTACTATGAAGAATGAAAGAGGTCATCATGTTGGAAAAATTMTCTTAGAGTATGTATGTGTAGGTGTAGGGGTACAGGACTGAAGAATAGCTAAGAGATAAGATGGCAAATATAAAGGGTGCTTTGTCATCATATAATATTTTGGGGCAGTTTTGTTTTACAGTAAATGAAGATTAATTGATAAACCCCCCAAAGGCTGACCCCATTTTCTTGAAATGCTCTTTTGTTTATATTTTATTATAGTAACTGCTCAATACTCTTTCTAAACAAGGCTTCAAAGATTTAGCGTCTACCTCTCTGAATGTACCTATAATGTTTTCTGTTTTGCTAAAATTCCTTGATTGCATTTAGGATTTCAACCTTGAATTTTTTATTCTTCTCAACACCGTTTTATAATAGGCATATTTTAAATAATTCTTAAGATCATTTATAAGCGAAATAAAGCACTACTTACTGTATTTTAAAAACAATTATTATAAATCCTTTTCTAAGGTTACTATTTTTCTATTAAAAGAGCCACCCAGGGGCTGGGGTTATAGCTCAGCATAGAGAATTTGCTTTGCACATGTGAGGCATTGGGTTCGATCCTCAGCACCATATAAAAAACAAATAAATAAATAAATAAAGATACTGTGTCCATCTTTTAAAAAAAAAAAAAAAGTCACCCAAAAGGAAGCACTGCTTATCTTAATACCCTAAGTTTGTTGTATCAACTTCCCCAATACTGTGACCAATCCCATCTCTCCTCTAATGTTAAGTTATTCAGTTTTATGACTCTTCCTTTCAAATGACAAATCAGCTAATACATCCTTTGATTTTCTCCAAACACATTTTCTATCAGCTTCTTCTCTATCCTAATCATGATTATTTTGATCTAATCYCTGATAATCTTCAATTGAATTATTCCAACAATCTCTTTTCTGGATCCTTTCCAATTCCTTCTGCCACCATTTTGCTTCACTTCTATTAAAACTATAATAATGATGTTCTTTTACAATATAGACTAAACTTTTCCCCAGTTATCTCAAAGTGCTTCATCCCAATCAGCCTGAGCCACTCATTTCTGAAACACCTATTAAAATTCTTTCTATTGTTCACCTTATTTCCTTCTTGGAATCGCTGCACCATTGTTATAGGCCTGAAACACTTTCCCCCTTTCACCTCATTTTAAATATGACCTATTGTTAATTGCTCAAATGGCATTTCAAATTTCCCTCCTATGAAAATTTACTAGACTAACTGAAGGAAAGCTAATGCTTTCTCTAAAAAGCTACTGGACCATACTCTTCTCTTGGACCTCCACCTTGTTTTTGGCTTGTCTTCTGACACGACACATTCAGTCATTTATTTCCATTGGTYTATTTCTCTATAAAACATGTATACAAGATTTTTTTGCACTAAAAAATTAAATTTTATATTTTCCAATAATAATGACAGAATTGTGTCGTCGCTATACATGAACAAGTTAGGGAACAAAAACTACCACTCAGTTCTTATAAATTTTTAAATAAAAATCTATAATGTATTTATTTTGAATTTTTATTATTGAATAATTATAATTACTTTATTCAGAAAAAAATATCTACAACCTCATGATCATAGGAAAATTTTTAAGCATTCAATTTCAACTTTTACATATATATATACATATATATACACACACATTCATATATTAAAAATCTATAAATGTGTTTATTCCTACTGCAATACAGGGAATCAGTAAAAGTTTTTCAAGTATAAAAATATTTTACATTAAGAAAAATTCTGTGAAAAGATGAAAATATTAATAAAAAAGAAAAAAATAAAGGAATTTCACACTACTAAAAAACAGCTCTCGTGTGTATGTATATATGTATATACATATAAATATATATAAGAATATACATATATGTGTGTGTGTGTGTGTGTATCGTTTTTAAATAAAGATTTCAGATAGCAAATCCTGATAATATTTAGAATTCCATGGACACATTTAAGAAGTATTCTAATTACAGAATTTTTAACATCAATATTGACAACACTTGGAATTACATTCTTTTGAAACTACTTTAAGTTATTAGGTGGAATTAAAACATTTACTTAAAAATATGCAAGGAGGTACATATTAGATACACCTCAGATTCTATTTCATTGGGAGTATGACAACAAAAAATTAGAAAATCAATGTTCTAACCAGTTTCTTTATCAATGTATTAACATAAAAACATGTTATGCTAAAGGCCCAAAATGGAGATAACACAGATTTAAAATGGGTTCAAATAGAGTTTATCTATTGAAATTAAGAATGTCTTTCATTTTATTAGGAACCTATCCCCAAAAGGTACTATCTTTTAAAGAATGATGATAGTGCACAATGTAAAACACCAAGAAAATTCTCACTATTCATGAGTAGAAGATATCTTACTAATACTATGAACATTATATAAGTATTCAAATAATGAGTTAGAACTAAGACTATGAGGGATGATCATGAGGCATATCCATCAAATACTAAGAAATGAAAACACAAGTTGTAAAGTAATATGCATAATATTACCAATCTTTTTTTTTTTTTAGAGGGAGAAAGAGAGAGAGAGAGAGAGAATTTCAATATTTATTTTTCAGTTTTCAGCGGACACAACATCTTTTGTTTGTATGTGGTGCTGAGGATCGAACCCGGGCCACATGCATGCCAGGGGAACGCGCTACCGCTTGAGCCACATCCCCAGCCCAATATTACCAATCTTGAAAACAGAAATAATCAACCTTCAAATACACACACACAGTATTTCAAGCACAAAAGTACAGAAAGAAACAATACTAGTTATATCCATCCACAGACATGATACAGGATTCTGTACAAAAACAAACAAACAAACAAAAAAAAAGCAAAATAGGGGTGAAGAAACAAAAGGACACAGAATTTATTTCAAGTAGGTTAGAGTAATGAACAAATAAGTTTATTCTGAACTGCATTATGTGAAATTAAATTAAAACTTACCGTACAACAGTACTGAAGGGCTATTGCATTTAAAGTATCCCCTTCCTGGATATCTTTTGTTAGTACAATAATGTCATCAAGCCTATCTCTTGATGTACTTCTTCGGACTTTCTCTTTTCCTCTGGATCGAAGCTCATACACTTCAGCTTCATCTTCCAACATATCAGTGTCTGTACAATTTCCAAAAGCATGTACTTGACCACTTGACTGAACTCCTGTGAGAGGAAAACTACGATTCTGATGCCTCCCTGCCATACTGCCAAAATCTGGAAAGGGAGGAAAAAACCCAGAAAACTTYGGAATGTAGCTGATCAATTTGATGTATTTACATTAGTCTTAACATTTCACTTTTTAAAAAATTTCTTAAATAATGGTTTTAGTTATTTAAAAACTTAAAACTCGAGTTTTATAATTGTTAAAGTACAACAAACATATTTGTTAGTGGAGACAACAATCCAATGCACCATTTATCACAAAACATATAGGGGTAATTATATTTTAACAAGGCAAATGCTACAGTTRTTTTTTCTTTTTGGTCAAAAAAAAAATTAATTAAAAAATTACTCTTCTTCTATGGGAAGAAAATTAGGCAAATTATTTTCATATACGTCTTAAAAATTTGTGGCTAAATTTACAACTATAGTTCTGAAGGAATCAAAGTATGTTTATACACACATATACAAACTGTGACGAATTCAAAACTTTCTGGCTTGTGTATTTTAAGTTCACATGAGACTGAAATATATTTACACTTACCACTCTCTGGAAGATGTTAACTTCAGAATTTATATTTAGTACAGCATTTGCCTTCTATATAGACCATGAATTTGCTCTTTGACCAGGGATTTTCTTCCCCTGAAAACTCTTCACCCAATTTAATTTAGAGTACTCATCAAATTRAATTTATGGTACATAAAGACTGAACAGATTTTTTTAAGTGTATTTTTTTAGTTGTAGATAGACACAATACCTTTATTTATTCATTTTTAGGTGGTGCTAAGGATCAAACCCAGTGCCTCACACATGCTAGGTGAGCACTCTGCCACTGAACCACAACCCCAGCCCTAGACTGAACAGATTTTAGCTGTGATTTTTATTTGTAATTTAGAAAAAGCACTCTATGACTATGACTGAGAATTGATATAAATTAAAAACATTTACCAATTAATATTTTTTGTTTACTTGCATACTCACTCCCAACACACATTCATCAAGTTGAGCTATTCTCATTCAAAATAAACACAAGAACCTAAAAAACTAATTCCACATTGTTTTGGCTTTGTTTTACTTATTCAAATAAGAAAGGATAGACTGCTTTCAGATATTGTTTTGAAAGGTGGAGCGAGGCAGTTGAGAGGAATTTAGGAGATAAATACTTCAAGCTTCAATGTGGCTCAGATTCGAAAGGAGAAGTTAAAGATCACGCCAAGATTATTGATTTGCAGAAGTGAATAAACTGTGGTGCCATTCCCTAAGCTATAGAGAGCTGGAAGAGCTAGGTGTGAGGGCATGACTATATTCRATATCTCTGACAGTGAGCTACATAGTTAGAGGAAAGGCCTAGGTTATCATTTTATGACTAATTTGCACATAAGTAATACTGAAATAGATGAGATCACCTACAGAATTCAGAGTACGAAAAGAGGGCCCAGTATTGAACCTTAAAGAAACCCAACWTTCAGGTGAGGGTGTGGGGAAAAAGGCACACTCATACATTGCTGGTGGGACTGCAAATTGGTGCAACCAATCTGGAAAGCAGTATGGAGATTCTTTAAAAACCTTGGAATGGAACCACCATTTGACCCAACTATCCCACTCCTAGGTCTATACCTAAAGGACTTAAAATAAGCATTCTATAGTAATGCAGCCACACACATCAATGTTCACAGCAGCTAACTTCACAATAGCTAAGCTGTGCAAGCAACCTAGATGTCCTTCAATAGATGAATGGATAAAGAAACTGCAGTAAATACACACAATGGCCTTAAAAGAGAAAACAATTATGGCATTTGTGGGTAAATGGATTGAGTTGGAGAATATCATGCTAAGTGAAGTAACTCAATCCCTAACAAAGGCCAAAGATTCTCTCTGATAAATGRATGCTGATCCATAACAGGGAGGAGGGAGGCATGGGAAAGATGGAGGAACTTTGATTGGGCAAAGAGGAGGGAGGGTTGGGAGGGTGTATGGGGGCAGGAAAGATGGTGGAATAAGATGGACATCATTACCCTAGGTACATGTATGACTGCACATATGTTGTAATGCTACATCATAAGAAAGAAATGAAAAGTTGTGCTGCCRTTGTGTACAATGAATTAAAATGCATTCTGCTGTCATATATACTTAATTAAAATAAATAAATTAATTGAAAAAAAGAAGAAAAATAAATTAGTGGGTCCCTTGGAACTTAAAGGAGCCTAATAATGAGACTATAACACAAAAATTCATTAATATACAAATGGTGGGTAGAGAAGTAGTTTTTTGTTTGTTTGTTTGTTTGTTTTTGTAATAACTCTGGCTCCTTACCCTGTAAAAAAGCTCAAGATTTAGTACCTTGGTGAAGTTCTGCCATAAAAGATGAAAAAAGAATGTCCAGAGGAAAAGGAAATGTAATGCCATGGAAGCCAAGGAGGACAAATGATGTTTAGACAAAGGATTGTTATGTTTTGAACACTATGAATGAGTACTAAGAGGGAAAGGGAAAAAAAAAATCAGAAAAACACAACTCCAAAAGTCTGAATTTGTAAAATGATGACAATAGATTACATTCTCTAAGTAGGCAMATCCTTATGTTTTGAAGCTATTTCATACTTGAATCCAATCCTTAAAATTTGGTTTCCAACCCACTGTAATGCTTTAAAAAATTAAGGTTTTCTATTCAGATCATATAGTAACCACAGCTATGTATTAAATAGATTATTTCAATTGTTCTCAGAGGTTCTACCTTATTTATTACCAAGAACTAGGATCTCTAACTTGACAGCCACCAAACTAAGGCAATCTACCCACATTTCACATCTCAGCAGTTTTGAAGTCATGATTACACATATTCCTACAAAGATAAAATCTTTATTTCCATTTATGTAACCAAGTCTTTTTTATCTTATATCTTTAACCAAGGGTATATGTGTGAGTCCTGTGGATTCATAGGCAAATTTTATACATGTGCATTTTCTGGGGAGAATACTGTTTCATATTCTTCAAAAGGCATCCATGATCAAAAGAGTTGAGTATCACTTAATAAACCACAATTTACACATGAGGCTACAATGACCTGATTATTGTGTCCCTTTAGACTTTTTCTCCCTAAAATCTTATTTTTAAAACTTCATAGCTTAGTACAACTAACTGAAAGTCACTAAGCAATACCTACTAGACACTTTAGATATTTATATCAATATCTCTCCATAGTATATTGCTTTATTTAAAAGACTAGAACTGCATGGATTCTCTTTCTACTCTCCTTTGCAACAAAATGCAAGCAGAGAATATAACACAAACTGGGTATTCGTGTTTGAATTACCAAAGAATTGCTTGTGCCTCTAAAGGAAGTAAAAAGACTTTGCCCAGGAAGATAATTACCTGAACAAACTACTTAGAGGTTATAAAGTACAAAGTATCCAAGTCTTCTGGCTCGATTCTTCGCCCCTCTCAAAATTCTATTAGGGCAGGAAAAAGGCATGAAATACATCTTAGGAAATCTGGAACAAGCCTTCATGCTACACAGATTACAAGAGGCTAGGGGAAAAAAAATAATTACCAGTGGATACAGTGTTAAAAGCTTTCRTCAGTTCGGTCTACAACTGCAAATGGTTTCCCAAACACCGTCATACTATATATATAAAAACTGCTGCTGGTGTTTCGCTTTGACTTTCCTAAGAGGGAAGCGATAAAAGAAACACCATACGCTAGTTCAGCACTGGAACAGAATCACAGGGTTGTGTCCACCAGGGGAAAATTTGTTTTTAAAGACTTAATTTCCCTCCCTCTCCACTGCACACTTTTTTTTTTTTTTCCTTTCCCTGTCATCCCTAACAAAGACTAAAAGGCAGATTTTTCTGTCACAACGTCACACTTGGATGATGTGGACGAGATGCCATCAGCTAATAATCAACGCCAACGCAAAGTTGCGGGGGAAATACTGTGTTTGGGTGGGAAAAGCGCTGCCCCGGAAATCGGGCAGATAGAAGCCCTTCCTCGGAGCCTCGGTTTCCTCGATAGTTTGACAGGCACTGTGGCGGAACTGGCATCAAAGATGTTCCCTGCCTCGGGTATGTCCTCCAAGAAAAACCGGGTCCGAGCCCCAGGCCGCCGCCCCACCACACCTGCGGCCGAGCTCCGCGAGGACTCCAGGGAGGACTCAGCTGAAGTCCAACACCACTGTCAAACCCAGGACCCCACACACACACTTCGCCGCCATATTTACCTGTCCCGTTAGCAAGGGGGACGCAGTGAGGAGCCGGATGCCAGGTCCGCCGCCACCGCTCCTGTCCCGGGCAAGTTCATGACCGAGCCTAGGTATCTGGCAGTTCAGGTCCCCCAACGCTGCCGCCACCGCCGCAGCTGCCGCCAACGTCTCCGCCTTCCCGACCGTGCGCCGCCGCCACGTCCGCAAACCTGCGATGCGTCATCGCGTCAAGTGGGCGGAGGTGGGAAGGGGCGGGGGAGGAAGCGTAGGACTGAGGAGCAACCGCGAGCCCAGAACCCTAGGCGTCCAACCACAGGCCCAYGCCCAGCACGCAGGCGCCTGCCAGCCTAGGGCCCGGGGAGGGGCTCTGTTTCCAGCCCTGCCCCGCCTCTCCATTTAGGCCCCGCCTCCTCTTCCCTAGTGGAATAGTTTAGTCCTTCCAAGTTCGCGCATCAACTCTAGACGCCCGACGACCTGCTCCCTGCGCCTTTGTGCACCGTGCACACRGCGCTGCCCAAGACTGTCCCCAAGGAGAGTAGTGCTGAGAATCTGTCTGGGAGCTACTGTACATTTCTTCTTACCCTGTATCTGGAGTTTTCTTTAGGGGAAGAACACTGCAAATGCCCAGTGTTGACAGTCTTGTTTTAGAAAATTGCACAATGCTTATACCTCTCTTCATGCTAAAATCTGCAGAAGAGGCAAAATACTGGCGAACTGGGGTTAGAGCGTCCTTCGTGGCTATAGGTGAGGAAAGTGAGCCACCTAGAGCCAGGCCACAGGAAGTGTTTGCCCTGTGGCCTCTTTCTCAGACTCTATGAGACAAGCATGTCAACAACTTGTAACCTAACTTATTTCAGTTTAAAAATTAACTGGAAGTCTTTGGTAGTTAATGTTGGATTCTGTGCAATATTATTCGTTAAATAAGAAATTCGTGTCTTCATATATGATATTTCTCATAAACTTACTAAACGAGAATAAACATGTTTAAATTTATGTAAATGAATGTAAAACCATTCTAGAGTCTGATGTTTCCCAGTGTTGACACTACAGAGGGTGCACTTTGACTACCAGGCTAACTCATTACAATATCCATTTTAGACAGAAATAGCCACTATGCTGGCTACATTCCTTTTCAGAACGTCTGAATACCTCCTGAAGCTGTTGAAACTTTGTCCTAAATTATTTTCAAACGGTRTGTTTTTGGTTTTCTAGGATGTGTTTCAGCAAAGGTTAGGAATTCTGTATTGCAGTATTAGCCTTTATTTTGAGATGATAGGCACTACGCTCCACAATACTACAAAAAGCTTCAGAAGAAGACTTTAAAAAAAAAAAAAGTTTGTTGAAGCTGTTCTGTGTGCTGTTGCCCTCGTGACACCCTGTCTGTAACCATTTATCACTGAGACATTTTCTCATCAGTAGACAAAGGACATATTCCCCACTTGATGTGTAGGGCTTCAGCTGCTCAGCCCTCATGAATGTTAATGGGAATACAACCTTCTTTCTACATATAGGTTACTTTTCTTATTTTAATGTCAATAGGCAGTGGAATCCTTGAGAGACCCAGATAGAATTTCAAGCACTTCTACAGGACTGCTACCTGTATCCGTTGTTTATATACTTTCTCAATATTAACTGCATGCTCTAAATCATAATTTGTATTTGAAAAAAAATGCAATAATTGAACTTTTTACAAAAAAGCTGTGATAGAACTATATTTTATTATTCTAATATACAAAGGAAGCAGTTAGCCATGAATTTTGGCCAAGTTCCAAAACACTGGTCTGTAAGAACAAATACTTTGTCTTTGAGAAAAATGATGTCCCCAGTGCTCAGCAAAGTAAAAAGGAATTTTGGTTTTTTTGAGATCTCATCTGCCACAGCTTCCATTAAAAAGCCATAGATAGAAGAATGTGTAGTTTATAGGAATGGGTGTTTTTGTTACCAACATTCAGGGTTTGTGAGTTGCTCCAGAGTAAAAGTTGTATGGTAAAGAGAGTGTAAATTGATGCAACCTGTTAGGAGTGTCATTTGGCAATATTTCTCAGAATTAGAAATGCAATTGACTGGACTCTTTGTTAAGTAACTACCTTACATTCACTTAGCTACATTTGGTTAAGATTTAACAGATATTTTCAAGAATGTTGACTATAAAGAAGAATATTCTAAATGTTTAGCAGTAASGGACTAGATACTTCTGGTACATTTTTAAAAATGTATATTATACTTTGGATCAAAAGAATGAATTAATCTATATTAATTTTTATTAATATTCTGATTTATTTATTTGTTTCCCTAAGAAATTTTTKTTGTAGAAAAAATACACACAAGAGCTTTAGATCTAGGCTTTATAGATATAGTGTTTAGAAAGACAATGTCCCCTTGTTGTGGAGTTTGCATAACTCTAAGCACATAAAAAAAATCTTCAAAATACATTTTAATGATAAAGTAAAGCATCATATAGGAAATATGATGTTTTCCTTTTGGAATAAAGTTTTACATGTACACCTCTCCACATCCCCATTTATTTATGCAGGAGGTTGAATTAAATTTTCTTTCTGGAAAGTTACTCAATAAATTTTTGACAGTCTGAAAAGGACTASATGTGGCAGAAAAGTGGGCATTTTTGATCATTTTTATCATATATTTTTATTATTTTTATCATATATTTTATCATTATTAAAATTACTAAAAGTGAACATATTTCATTTTTAAAGAACTAGACTTGTTTTTTTTCTATAGTTATCCTGGATTGAACCATGCATCTCTTAATCATTCTTAAGTCTGTACTTAATATTAAATGATGAAGGCCTGGTGGAAGGATTCATTTTAATTTCCTTAGAAATAAAAAAAAAATGAAGAAGTAACAAAACTTGAATTCTTTTTACATTTCTTATTGATTCCCGCTCTCTGATGTTTTTCAGCCCTGCTCCTTCACTTTCTGCTCTTTCCTATAACCCCTTATCAGCCTCTTATTCTTTTTTTTTAATATTTATTTTTTGGTTTTCAGTGGACGMAACATCTTTATTTTATTTTTGTGTGGTGCTGAGGACTGAACCCAGTGCCCTGCACATGCCAGGAGAGCGCGTTACCACTTGAGCCACATCCCCAGCCCAGCCTTTTATTCTTAAGTCTACTTTCAAGAAGCAAAATTGCAAAATACTGTTGTATTCTAAGGAAATACCTAATCTCTTAAATGAATTTTAAATTGAGTTATGGGGTAATCTTTTAAAAAATCCCTCATTTCTTATTTTCAAATAATATGTATGTAGAGAAAATTATTGTGTATCTTCTCTAGAAGTCTTAAGGAAAAAACTCTGCATGGTTTAGTACCTATTTAGCTGGAATATCTATTAGATGACCTGCCTATTTGTCTTTCACCCTGTGATTTTTAAACATGGTGATTAGTATAGTCACATCTTGGCCATAATGTGGATAAAAGAAGAGTCAAATATACCTTAGAAGTTAGAGTTGCACATCAATAAAAGAGAATAAATTCATGGCATTTGCAGGTAAATAGATGGAATTAGAGAAGATAATGCTAAGTGAAGTTAGCCAATCCCAAAAAA